GTGTACATCTTGGTCTAGTTCCTGTAGCTTCTCACTTTCTAGGACCTTGATTGCGTAGCTCTCCTTACATTATCTTGACTGGCCTTACTGTACGTCCAAGCCAACATCAAAGCCCCATGCTAAAATAGCAAACCCCATTCAAGTTGGACCCAGCTTGAAGGAGAAAATGGGCTTGGTTTGAAGAAGAGTTGGGGTTTTTTTTGGGGGGGGAGAGAGGGGGGGGGGCAACAGGCTCTATTCTAAATGGATTATGAAACAGTTTGTGCGTCGAAATTTTCCGGGGCGGAACGACTGTTCACTTCCTCATGTGACGACGATTATGGTTATCGTACAGTTGTCGCATGTGCGATTCCCCCATGACACCCAAGAAGCAAACCTGGTCCCAACTTGAAAAACAAGTTGGGTTTCAATAGAAGAAATCGCACATGCGATTCTTCTGACACGCAAATCGCTCGAGTCACAAACCCGTGAGAAGGGTCGCACCATACATTTTTGCCAGACGGTCATCATGATTTATCCGTTAGAATCTAAGTTCGCTGTTAATTTTGCCGTCAGAAAGTGACGGTACCCGGTGCTCATTCTGTTTCCAGGTTCGTTCAGCGACGTGCTTCGTAGTTGACAGAGATTTTCGTGAACAGTTGCTGAGAACAGCAAAATGCCGAGGGACAGTGTCAACCAATGAAATAGTGAAAACGTGGTCAAATGAGAGAATCATTAACCTCAATCAACGCTAAACCTCCTCTCGCTGCTCAAAAAACGACAAAACCCTCCTCTCAGTGCGCTAAACGTGATTACTGTACGCGGATAGCTTAGTAACAGTAACCGAACAACTAAAAACCCTGTAAGGAATTTTCCATTCCTTACCGAGCGGTACTGCTATCGCGTACGCTCGAACACACCCGAAGCCTCGGACTGTTCCAGACCTTCTGACAGAACCGCCTCGGCTTCTCCAGACCTTTCAGTTCGACCTTCGGGAGTTCTCCGGGCCTCGCTTCGTCACTTCGAGACCCTTCGATCTCCTTCCCGAACCTTACCATCGCAGGGTTAGACTAGCTCTGGTGTTCCTATATCTTGGCTTGCCATTTCCTTGTATCGTCATTCATTGAGTGAACACTTCGTTATTCATTTCCGCGCTACTCTGCTTGTTCATTCATAACACCTGGTATTCAGAGCCACTTTCATCTATTTGGGGCTGTGACTATCTCGGTTGACAGGGCATAACTCCTGTGCATACATTTTCCTTCGTGATATACAGTACTGCACCAGTCTATGTGCTGGAGAAGCCAGCGCAAATATTTCGTTAGAGGCATTGGCTAGGCTGGGTGCATTCATGCCTCGCGAAACAACAACCAGCCCGCCCGTGTCACTGCCGCGACCAGCTGGAGGGTTCGTTTGGCGGGGAAGCGGTTCCCACCAAACCAAGCAAGGCTGCGCAGGTTCCCCGCGTTAGCCCAAACCAATTCCCGCCTGACCTCACCACCATGGGGTGGTGCCTGACGCAGCGACTCCCCCTACCTGGCCTGAATCCAGTACAGTTCTGTGCGCGAAACAAGCGGGGTACCACGTGGCTCGTTTCTGAACTGAACCCAGGGCTCAAGCCTAATCGGACGAAAAACTCCGATTCTCGCACGAACAGTTTCCAAGTGGTTTTCTGGTGGTGAAATTCCCACAACCGCCAGTTCATGTAGTGGTCGGCGGAAAAGTCATTCACGGTAAGTACCCTCAGTTAAAGCCGCGGTACACATTCACTTCAATTTGTTTCAAGTGATAAACATTTGAAAAGGTGGTAACTGAGTGATTCCTGCTGGAGGTAGCGAGATCTCGCAACCTGCAGATAAACATTTGAAGGGGGATTGTGGCAATTGTGTAATGATAATCCCAATTGCCACCTCTCGACTCATCCCCCTTTCCTCACGTTTTCCCAGCCTCCTTCCCCCCACGATTTCGATCGTCCCTTCCCCCAACGATCTCGATTCCCCCTGGCCCCGCAATCTCGAAACTCCCCCCCCCCCCCCCCTGTCCCGTCAAATTCGATTCCCCTGGCCCCCCAACTTCGAAGCCCCCCCTGCCCCCCCAAAATTTGATTCGCCCTGCCACCCCTCGCTTGCCCAGCTCCCCCCGTCATTTCCGTTTCCCCCTTCCCCTCTCTAGTCCAATTCCCCCCCCAGTCAAGTTCGATCCCCCCCACCCTTCGCATTTCGTTCCGCTTGTCAGTTCGATTCCCCCCCCACCCATCCTCACAATTTCCCCATCACGATCAATTCTTCCCCCACCCCTCGCAATTCTAAACTTTCCCAACTCTATTTCCCCTCCCCCACCCCGCGAAATCCAATCCCCCCAACGCAATTCCATTTCCCCCAGTATCGTGGTGTCGAAATTTCCCCTCGACGAAACTCAACTCAATGCGCGTCAATACTTTTATTTCGCCTCTCGCCCTCCAATCACTTTCGTCCCCCTTTTCTGACCTCCACATTTCTTTCCCGAGACGCGTTGAATGTGTTACCGCGGCTTTAAAAAGCTGGGGTTGGCGAAATTGAGGGGAGGGATACTATGGATGGTGCCAACGGGCAGCAAAACCTTCAAGGCGATGGAACCGTGAGATCGTAACCCTACATAATGGAGATCTACCCTGCCAGCAGCCTAGCACCTCCAACCGAAACACAAGGACACTCTCTCCCTGTTTTCGCGGAGCAGGATTGGTGGTGTCTGCCTCTCCACTGTACCAGCTAGGTGGCAGGACGGTGTCTTCTGTACAGGACAGTACTAGCTTCTAATAGCGCTAGGTTCAAGGTAGGCATCTGGTTCCAGGCCGAGAGGGGAATATCGTTAGCCGTCGCGTTCCCTTGCGTTGTTGGAGTCGGAGGCCGTCTAGTCGTTGGAAATAGTGAAGGAAGTAGAAAGCAAGGCTCAGGAGTGACTCCCATCGACTTGGGGAGTATCGGATCCCCCGACAAATCACGAAAGCGCCTACCGTCGACGAAGCAAGCGTCGAGGAAACTGTATGCCCGACGATGTCGTCGGGAGCCATCGCGACGGACGCGTCGGCGAACGGCGCGGTGGCGTCGCCGCCCGCTCAGAGCGGCGGCGGCACGACGATGACGTACGCGTCGGTGATCTCGCTGCACCAGCTCAACATCGCCGTCATCGCCGTGCTCGTGCTGCTCGTCCTCCTCGTCCTCGTCCTCTCCCTCGCTAAAGCCCGCTCCACGTGGCTGCACCGCCGCGCCGCCCTGCGTCAGCAGGCGGAATCCGCGCAGAACCTTCGGCCGGTCGGGCAACGCGGTCTGCTGGTTGACCGCCGGCAAGGGAACGGCGTTCCCGAGGAGCTGATTAAGCTGCTAGGGCAGGTGGTGGCGTACGAGGCTGCGAAGGTGGGCAGGGAGTGCGAGAGCGAGCGCGAGTGCATCGTGTGCCTGGGGGAGTACAACGAGGGCGACATGGTGCGCGTGCTGGACGCGTGCCACCACATGTTCCATCAGGTGAGGGGCCGAGGATGCGCGGTAGGGCGTGGATTGTGAGGAGCGAAGCAATAAGGGACTTTAGGGTTTCAAAGGAGCCTAGATTTTGTCGCACTGTCTCTCGCATCTTTGCGTACTCGGGTGATGGACGGCGTCAGGTAGGTACCCAGTCCCGCTGCTACGTTCTTGCCATTGCGATGGTGGCATGACAGCCCCAGCTTTGCACACACATCTCATGCCCATCGCTCCCCGCTTCCTCTCTTGGTCCTTGTCATCGTCTCATCGCTCCCTCCCCCTCTCTCCCCCTCTTCCGCCCTTCAACCCTTCCCCCGTCCCCTTGCCGCTGTCGCCTGTGCCCCCTGGTCTGCCAGGACTGCATCGACGCGTGGCTGAAGGCCCACAACTCGTGCCCCATCTGCCGCACCGTGCTGCTGCCGTCCCGCGCCTCTCCCAACCCCGTGGGGTCGGAGGGCGGGCAGCACACGCACAGCCACCACCACCACAGCCACCACCACCACAGCCACCACCACCACCCCCACCACCACCACCACCACGACCCCGAACCCTCCCTAGACGAGGCACACCCATCGCCGGACCAATCTCGTCCATCCCCAGACGGATCACTTGTATCCCTAGACCAATCACATTCGTCCCCTGACCAAGCCCATGTCGCTCAAAGCCAGGTGCATGAGATGCAGCGCCAGAGCAGTCTGCATGACAGCATCACTGCTGCGTCACCTGCAGGCGCCGCTCAAGCTGCCAACAGTGCTGCGGGTGCTGAGGGAGCAGAAGCAATCCAAGGTAGCAAAAGGAACGATTCTGTGGCTGTGCCCATCCTAGAAGCAGCGGCTGGGGCTGGAGTCGCAGCTGCTTCAAAGGACTTACCAGCGCAAGAGAGGACGGAATGTAGAGAAGGTGGGCATGTGGGTGTGGAGATAGCTGAGGCACCAGGAGGCGTCTGCCGTTGTATTGCTAATGGAAACGAGGGCAGGCCCCATGACGCTGGGGCCTGTGGGTGGAACGGCGTAGGATCCACGCATTTGCATGTGGCAATGGAAATGTGAAGAGTGGTGTAGCCTTCGGTCTACATGTAGGCAAGGCCGCTAGCAATCAAGGCTAGCCCGTAAAAAGAATGGTGTACAATCTTGTTAATATCCATGAATCTGTACGCCTTTAAGTGATGCCTTTGTATATGAAGGTCGGGCAATTCCTTGGCTCACAGTCTTGTAACCAAAATTTCTGGCGAAGTTCGCTTACGGAATTCAGTCACTACTCTGCGACGCACTTGAACATGTCAGGTTGTGTCAGCTTCCATCCAACTGATATTGGTTGAAGCTCGGACCACCAGCGCCCCTGTCGGAACCCTGGGTGGTCTGTTCGAGCCGCAAGCGACGCGGTTAGTCGGGCCGCATGACCAGACCTTTGATGAAATTCATCAGAAATTCCCATCAGCAACAGCAACAGCATTTGCCCTGCCAGTGTGACCCAACTTTTTCTTGCGCGCCTTTCCTTCCCTCCCCTTCTCATCCTCCCCTTGTTCTTCGCACCTCTGCAAATAATCTCCAACGCAGCACCCCCACATCGCAGTCATTCCGAGCGACTGTAGTCCTAGTCCCATCCACTTGATCACCATCGAGAGCCTTTGCCGTCGGCCATTCACGATCCGACTGCTGTTCCTCCCTTCCTTTGTACCAGAGCATTCGCGCCACGCACGCTGTCAAAAGAGAATAAACGTAGTCTCGAGCGTCAGATGCTGGCAAATAGACCCTGGTCACGCGTACTTGGAGAAATATGAGTCGCTCGTCCAACCCGAGACACGCCTCTCAGGCACTCCGAGTCATTCTTCTCCTTTCCTGCCTCTATCATGTCCCCGCTGGCTTCGCGTCGTCGCCAGTCCCGGGATTGCTGTACTCCCTGAGCTCCCCATCCGTACGCACCCGCCACAAAAACCCATTCGCCGTGTTTCGCGGCTTCTTCGGGGGAAAAACCGGAATATTGCAAACAGATCACGCTCCTGATCATCCTGATGCAGCTATCGGATCTCGGTTTAACGAGACTGTGAGACCATTCAGTCGTTCTCTGCAGTCCTCCTCCTCCTCTCTCTCCGACTGCCCCTTCACCACCACCAACCCCCTCCACACCTGCGCCGTGGGTTACGCCGCCTCTGCCGGCGTGACAGGCGGGAACGGGAAGCCGGTCTACGTGGTGACAAACGCCGACGACTCGCTACCAGTCGGCACCAACGGCTCGCTGCGGTGGGGCTTAACGCGCGCGTATGCCGCTGGGGGTGCCAACGGCATCTACATCACGTTCGCGAAGAAAATTGACGTTCTGCTCGCCGCGCCGTTAGCCGTGCCGTCAGGGACAACGATCGACGGGAGGGGAGTCGCCGTCCGGCTGTTTGGATCGTCCGTTGTCGTTCGCAACGCGCGGAACGTGATTGTGCACAATATTGAAGGTAAGGTGGGATGAAATTCGAACATTGTTTTCTACGAAGCTGGCCCTTTTTCGTTATCCCGGAACCACTTTCATTCTTTTCTTGGAGTTGAGACTAACTTCACCCCTCCCTCCTCCCCTTGATGATTTACCCCCCACCACAGTGCAAAGCGTTCAGTTCCCCAACGTAAATAGCGGCGTGAGCATCATCGACAGCACGGTGGTGTGGCTGGACCACGTGCGAGTGCGCGACGCTATAGCGGGGGCAGTGGAGGTCGTGGGCAACAGCGCTGGCAGCGCCGGGAGTGTGACAATATCGAGTTGCCACCTGAACAACGTGTATCTCCCTGGCGTGATTGTAAGGGGGCCGGGAGCCGGATCTCTAGGCAGCATCGTCAGCACCCGCAGCTCTAACAGCAGCGGCAGCGGGGGCAGCGGGGGTAGCGGCAGTGGAGGCGCAGGAAGCAGCAATAGCAGCAGCAGCGGCGGCGGCGGGAGCAGTAAGAGAAGGAAGGCGCAGGCGACAAGCGGCAGCAGCAAGAGCAGCGGGAATAGCACCAAGTCGCCGAGCACCAACAGCACCAGCAGTTCAGGCACTAAGTCTACTAGTCCCCCTAATAGCCCAACCTCTCCCCCTAAAAGCCCTAGCACACCTAAACTCACCGCTCCTCCTACGCGCTCCAGCCCGCCCAAGCTGCCGAGCCCGCCTAGTGGCGCGAGCAGCAGCACTAAGAGCGCCAGCAGCAACGCCGCTCCCGCTTTGACCGTGACGCTCTTTAGGAACTGGTTTGACTCGAGCGACTCCGGCAACCCCCAATGCGCGGCCGCCACGTGTCACCTCGCGAACAACCTGATCTCTAACTGGCGAGCCCTATGCATCCAGGCGCTGTTCGCGGCGAACGTCCGGTCAGAAGGAAACATTTTTCTCGCCGCCGGGCAGAAGGACGTGGCGCGATCCGACGGCTCGGCGGTCGTATCGCTGGGAGATAGGCTTGGGAATGGCGCGGTCTTTAACTCGCAGGGGAGCGGCGCGGTTTTCACTCCGCCGTATTCTGTCACGCTCGCGGCTCCCGATTCGACTCTAGAGAAATTCCTTCAACAGTCCGCGGGCCCGCGGGTCATGGCGCGCCCGCCCATGCAGCCGCCCGCGCTTTCTCCGCCTCCGCTCTCCAAATCTCCCCCTCCTTCAAAGCCATCTCCCTCTCCCCCCCCCGCGCCCTTATCCAATATCAGCATAAATACCCCGCCTTCCCCGCGCACTCCCCCTCGGTCCCCGCCGGCGTCATCCCCGCCGGCTGCAAATTCTCCCCCCATCCCCGGCGTTCCCCCGCCCGCGGACATCCCGGACGCGCAGTGCGCGTTCGATTCGGATGCGCCGCTGCACGAATGCGCTCTAGGGTTTGCGCGGGGGGTACTGGGGGGATACGGGCGCAGCGAGTATGTGGTTACCAACGCCAGCGATAGCATCATCTCGCCTGCGGAGGGTTCGCTAAGATGGGGTTTGCAGCAGTACAGGGACGGAGTGTACATTCGGTTTGAATCGTCTATGACAATTCATCTCAAAGGAAGACTGCTCCTATCGTCGTACACAACGATTGATGGGCGAGGGGGGCAGGTTCAAATCAGGGGAGAAACGATTGTGGTGCAATCTGCGGAGCATGTGATTATACACAATATTGAAGGTGAGTGCACAACTCAGTTGTTGCTTTCTCCCCCCCCCCTTCTCGCTGCCTCTCTTTGCAGTGTGCAGTGCGCAACATTCACAGCATGTACTCCCCCCTTCCTCTCCCTCTTCCTCTTTCACTCCTTTTCCCAATCCCCTCCCGACGCCCCCTTCTCATCTCCCTTCGTCCCGCGTTCTTTCCCATCCTTACCTCACCTTACTCCCTCCATCCCTTCCCCTCTGTCCTCCCCCACCTCTCCACCCCTGCCAGTGGCCGACGTGAGTGGAGCAACCAACAGCACGCTGAACGGCATCGCCTCCAGAAAGCTTTCCGCGTAGTGTGGTGAACCACTCAACTCAACCCCTTATTCTTTCCCCCACCCTCTTCCCTGTGCTGTCAGTGGGCGAGGTGGATGTAGCCCCCTACGGCACGCTGGACGGCATTGCCATCAGAGCCAGCAGCATGGTGTGGGTGGACCACTGCCTCGTGCACAATGCCCCGCTGGGCACCGTCGACCTGCTCGCCTCCTCCGACGCCGTCACCGTCTCGCACTGCCACCTCTCCAACTACCTCCTCCCCCTCGCCTCCGCCAACGCCACGTCAGCACCACCCCCCGCTGACCCGACGGCCCCGGGCACTGGTGGTCAAGAGCCTGACACTGCGCGTGTCACCTACTTCGGTAATTTCTTTGAGGGGCCATCGGCTCCTGTGCTGCACTGCCAGGCGTCGCTGTGCCACCTGGTGAACAATCTCTTTGCCAACTGGACTGACACGTGTATTATTGCACGTGGAGGCGCGTCCGTGAGATCGCTCAATAACGTGTACCACAGCACTGTAGCAGGTGCGGCGGACATCGTAACGGCGAATGCGGATGGCGAGAGTTATTTTGTAACAAGTGGTGATTTGTTGCGGAATGGGGCGCGGTTTGTGCAGAGTTTGCCGCCTGGGGTGGGCAATGTTGCGGGCATGCCTGCTCTGCCCTACTCCCTGCCTGTAGACAAAGCTGACCCAGACCTCCCTGCTGCGATCAAGGCGAACTCAGGACCCCAATTCTGAAGTCAAAGCCAGTCAACAAAGTCAAGCAAGCGCATGTAGCCATGGCTTACTTTGTACTGTATAGTAGCTAGGTACGTGCTGCTAGATCGATCTCGAGTGCAGCATGGTGGGCTGGCATCTGTAACTGTTTGGACGTTTCCTGAAAAAATGTCCAATCTACCATAAGGGCGTATTCCTACCGAGTGGTGTTCAGTACCAGCAACAAAAATGGGTTCCTGAACACTGAATGAATTTTCTTACCGACTCCAGTACTAGAACCAGAAGCCAGCTTGGTCGCTCATGTGTCTTGTGATTGATGGGTTTGTCAAACATGTTTATTGATCATGTTTGTATAGACTGTATAGGGTAACCTCCTAGAGGGTACAACATTTAGGTATATGTGCATGTACTCTCTAACTCTATGATCATTCAAATTCTAGTTTTGAGATGGTATCACGCGTAGGTTTCGACCCCCCCCCCCCCCCCCCCCCCCCACCTACCGCTTCCGCTCCTCCCGTCGCGTCTCCTAGCCTAGCCTCGCCCCTCCTGAGCCCAGTCGCGACTCCCCCCCCTAGCCCCGTTGTGCTCCTCTCAGGCCTCGTCGCGACCCTTCCAGGTCGTCGTAGCGCCCCTCCAGGCCCCGTCGCGCCCCCTTCCAGGGCTTCGTAGCGCCCCTCCAGGCCCCCGTCGCGCCCCTCCTGGGCTCTGTAGCGCCCCTCCAGGGCCCCGTCGCGCCCCTCCTGGGCCCCTTAGCGCCCCTCCTGGGCCCTGTCGTGCTCCCCCTGCGCTCCTCCAGGCCCCGTCGCGCTCCTCCCAGGCCCCGTCGCGCTCCTTCCAGGCCCCGTCGCGCTCCTTCCAGGCCCCGTCGCGCTCCTCCCAGGCCCCGTCGCGCCCCTTCCAGGGCTTCGTAGCGCCCCTCCAGGCCCCGTCGCGCCCCTTCCAGGGCTTCGTAGCGCCCCTTCTGGGCTTTGTCGCGCCCCTCCTGGGCTCGGTCGCGCCCCTCCCAGGCCCCCGTCGCGCCCCTCCCTGGGCCCCCGTCGCGCCCCTCCCTAGGCCCCCGTCGCGCCCCTCCTGGGCCCCCCGTCGCGCCCCTCCTGGGCCCCCCTTAGCGCCCCTCCTGGGCCCTGCCGCGCTCCTCCCTGGGCCCCGTAGCGCCCCTCCTGGGCCCCGTCGCGCCCCTCCAGGGCCCTGTAGTGCCCCTCCTGGGCCCCGTCGCTCCCCTCCTGGGCCCCGTCACACCTGCTCGGCCCCGTCGCCCCAGCTCGGCCCCGTCGTAGCCGCTCGGCCCCGTGGCGCCCGCCCGGCCCCTGTCGCAGCCGCCCGGCCCCTGTCGCACCCGCCCGGCCCCGTCACGCCCGCCCGGCCCCGTCGCAGCCGCCCGGCCTCGTCGCTGCCGCCCGGCCCCGTCGCAGCCGCCCGGCCCCGTCGCAGCCGCCCGGCCCCGTCGCAGCCGCCCGGCCCCGTCGCAGCCGCCCGGCCCCGTCGCGTCTGCCTGGCCCCTCGTCGCGCCTGCCCGGCCCCGTCGCGCCTGCCCGGCCCCGTCGCGCCTGCCCGGCCCCGTCGCGCCTGCCCGGTCCCGTCGCGCCTGCCCCGGCCCTACATACTTCCTGGTACTGTCCCCCGTTCCCCGCACCGCTTTGCACCCTCCTGCACTTCCCTGCCCCGCCCTGCACCGCATTGCACCTCACTGGACCGCACTGCACCGCACTGCATCGCACTGCACCGCACTGGACCGCACTGCACCGCACTGCGCCGCATTGGACCGCACTGCACCGCACTGCATCGCACTGCACCGCACTGCACCGCCCTGCACCGCACTGCACAGCACTACACCGCACTCCACCGTCCTACACTGCCCCTGATGGCTGCTGAGCTTCGTTTTGATGCTGAGGGTCAGCCTCTGGAGTTCGAGGCGTGGTTGGCTGACCTTCGCCGCCACCTCACTGGTCAGCGGCAGGACGGCCACCCGCTTTCTGCCCACCTAGACGGTATGCTCCCCTGCCCTGACCCCCCTGCTGTGCTGCCCGCTGATCCCACGCCCGCTGAGCGCGAGTCCACTGCCGCCGCTGCCCTTGCCCGCTCTGTCTGGCTTTCCCGCGATGCCCTTGCTCAGCTCGCCATTAGCAATGCCCTCCCCCCCCCTGAGCGCCCTCGCTTTAGAACCATTACTACCGCCCAGGCCTACCTCCATGCTGTCATCAAGCGCTATTCTACCCCTCCTGCTGCCTCAGTGGGTCGCCTGATCCTCCCCCTGCTCTTTCCTGACCTTGCGTCTTTCCCCACTGTCTCTGACCTCGCTGCCCACCTGCGCTCGATCGATGAGACCTGGCGCGCGGCCTGCACTGATGCACAGCTTAGAGTCCACCAGCCTCCCATGACCTCTACCCTCTACCTCCTTGCCACCCGCCTCCCTGACCGCCTTGCCGCCGCCCGCGACCAGTTCCTTAGCATCCACCCCGCTGCTCTCACCCTCACCGACTTTGTTGACACCCTGACTGTTATAGAGACTCGTCACCGCTCCATCACCCAGGCGAGCGGTACAGTACCGGTCCCTATCTTTCAGGGTTGTGCCCCCGCTCAGTGTACCTTCTCCGACGGCTCTGTCGCTGTGGCTGAGACTGCTGCTGCAGTGCAGTCCCGCTCGGGGAAGGGCCGCCGCCCCAAGGTTGGGAGCGGCGGAGGCGGCGGGGGTGCGGGTGGGGGTGGTGGTGGAGTCGGGTCGTCCGGTGCCGGTGCGGACGTGGGGACCCTGCCCAGTCCAGCTGCCCCGCTGCCTCCACAGTCGCAGCAGCAGCAGCAGCAGCAGCAGCAGTCGCCGCAGCCGCAGCCTTCGCAGCAGCCGCAGCAGCCGCCGCAGACGAGGCAGGCGAGTGCTCTCCCGCCTGGGTGGCCTGGAGCTGCTGGTGGTCGTGCGCGTGGTGGTGCGCCGGGTGGTGGTTCTAGAGGCGGGCGCTGTCAGTACCAGATCCAGACCGGTCCTCGCCGCGGTTTCGTTTGCGGTAAGATCGGTCATTCCACTCCTCGCTGTTTTCGTCGTCTGGACGACCTGTTCCGTCAGCGCTTTGGCCCGGCGCCCGACCTCCCGGACTGGCACAGCTTGCTTAGGCTTAGCATTCAGATTTTTGACTTGGACATGGATGCCATTGTAGCAGCCTTGCATGTGATGTATGCTGATGACTCTAGTGTGCTTCCCTCTTATTACCCTGTGTTGCCTAGTGTAGATGTGCCTATCGTAGACTCCCCTGCTGCGCCAGGCGTAGGATCTCCTGCTTTGCTTAGCCTCAGTGCTTCCACCGCTTCACTGCCGCCTCGCGCGACTGCTGCGCTTTCCTTCACCTTGGACTCTGGCGCCTCCCGGTGTTTCTTCCGCGACTCCACGACGCTGACGCCGCTGCCTGTTCCCGCTGCAGTTACTCTTGCTGACCCCTCCGGTGGTCCCGTCGTTGCCCGCAGTTCCACCTCCCTTCCCTGTCCGGCGGTTCCTTCAGGTTCGCTCACAGGTCTGCATATCCCCTCGTTCTCCAGGAACCTAGTTGGTGTCGGCTGCCTCCAGGACCTTGGCGTCACCACTACGTTCCCTGGTCACGAGCGGTATGCTGTCTGTACCGAGGCCGCCACTGGTGCCCCCCTTACCACTTTCCCCCGGGACCCGGTGTCCGGCCTGTTCACACTTGACACCGCGACTTCCCCGGCTGGGTCTTCCCCCCAGGTCGCTGCGTCCACCCAGGTTGCTGCTGCGTGCTCCTGTCGGTCCCTCACTCACCCGACTCTCCTTTGGCACCACCGCCTTGGTCACCCTGCACTCCCGCGTCTGCGTCACATGTCCCAGCACGGTCTCGTCCTTGGTCTCCCAGGTTCGTTCCCCGAGTTTCCCTCCTCCCCCGCCCCCCCGTGCACGCCTTGTGTCGAGGGCCGGCTCCGCCGTGCCCCTCACTCCTCCTCGTTTCCCCCTACCACCGCACCACTGCAGACTCTGCACATGGACGTCTGGGGCCCAGCCCCGGTCCATGGGCCGCGTCGCGAGCGCTTCTTCCTAGTGCTTGTCGACGACTTCACGCGCTACACCACCGTCTTTCCCCTGGAGCGGAAGGCCGACGTGCCTGACGTTCTCATCCCCTGGCTTGTCTCTGCTCGTGTCCACCGCGGTCTCCCTGCCTTGCGCCTCCACTCCGACCGTGGTGGCGAGTTTGCCTCAGGTGTCCTTGGTCGCTTCTGTCGTGCGGAGGGCATCACCCAGACGTTTACCCTGCCGGACTCCCCGCAGCAGAATGAGGTCGCTGAGCGACGCATCGGTTTGGTCATGGAGGTGGTTCGCACCTCCATGATCCACACCGGTGCACCCCATTTTCTGTGGCCGTTCGCCGTGCGCTACGCCGCTCACCAGCTTAACCTGTGGCCGCACCCCCAGCGGCCACCGGTTTCGCCGACCCTTCTGTGGACCGGGTCCCCTGGTGACGCGTCTGCGTTCCATGTCTGGGGCTGCCTTGCTCACGTTCGTGCCTCTGGCACGGACAAGCTCACTGCCCGCACCCTCCCCTGCGTCTTCCTCGGTTTCCCCCTTGACGCGTCCGACTGGCACTTCTACCACCCGCCGTCTCACCGCTTCTTTCACTCTCGCGACGTCACCTTTGACGAGTCCGTCTCCTTCTACCGCCGCTTCCCCCACCGTGGTCCCCCGGTTACTCCCCCCCTGTTCCTGGTCCCTCCTTCCCCAGTGGTCCCTGCCCCTCCCCCCCCCCCGCCCCCCCGTCCGGCCCCCTCTGGTGTGTCTCACGTCACCCCCCTCCCGTCGGTCGTCCCGGTCGACGAGTCTTCTGACTCTGGTAGTCCTCCGGCGCAGTCCTCGCCGTCTGTCCCTCCCCCGGTGTCTCCTCCACCGCCTCCGCAGCCGCCGTCGCCGCAGCTGCTGCAGCCGTCGTCTCCACCGCCGCCGCCGTCGCAGCCGTCGTCTCCGCCGCCACCGCCGTCGCGGCCGTCGCTGCAGCCGCCGCCGCCGCCGCCGCCGCAGTCGTCGCTGCCGCTGTTTGTGGACTCTGGGGGTGCTGGCGTTGAGGTGGGTACTAGTCCCGGGGCTTCTGTCGTGGCTTGTCCCGGCGGGCCTGGGGGTGGTACCGGTGCTGGCGGGGTTTCGTGCTCTGGGGGTGTCCCTTCTGGGGGTGCCGGTGTGGAGGGTTCGGGAGGTAGCAGTCGCGCAGCTTGTGGCCCTGGCGTTGGTGTTGTGTCGCCGCAGCAGCAGTCCCCGCCGGTGTCCGCCCTCCGTCTGCTCGGCCTTCCGTCCCCTGCCCCTGCGCCTGTTCCTCACCTGCCGTCTCCTCCTCTTCCCGTCTACGGCCCCTTGTTCCCTCCGCCGGACTCGTCCCCGGCTCGTTTTCCCCCTCGTTCCCCACCAGTGTCCCCTCCTCTGTCTCCTGACCCGACGCCTCCCTCTCACGTTTTGTCTCGCCGCCCCTCCCGTGCTCGTCCTGTCTCCCCCGTCCCGCGCTCTCACCCTATGTTGCTCCGGTCCCACGTGTCTCGTCCTCCCCTCCTCCCGTCTCCTCCTCCGTCCTCTCTTGTCGTTGCGTCTCCTCCTCTGTCTGACTACTTTCGTGCCGCTCGTCCTCTTGTTCCTCGGGTCCTTGCCTCTCTGGTTACAGACCCGTCTGTTCCAGTGTCGAGTCTTGACGCCCTTGTCGCTGCGGTCGCTGACTTCGCCTCTACCCGCCGCCTTGACTACGCTACCGCTCTGGTCTCCGACCCTGCCTGTCCTCCGTCTGTCGGGGGTGCTCCTGCCCTCGGCAGTGACGTCCTGGAGGACCGCCAGTTTGAGCTTGCTTTCCTGTCCGAGGCTGCTCCCCATCTCTGTTCCATGCTGCTAGTCCCTGAGGGTGACCCAGACGCTTTCGACATCCTGACCCCTCGTACTTACGCTGAGGCGGTTTCGGGACCCTGGGCCTCTCAGTGGATAGCTGCCATGGAACAGGAGATGGCATCTTGGAGATCCACCGGCACCTTCGTCGACGCAGTTCCCCCGCCTGGGGTGAACGTGGTCGATGGCCGTTGGCTCTTCAAGGTGAAGCGCCCTCCTGGAGAGCCGCCTGTGTTCAAGGCGCGCTACGTGGCTAGAGGCTTCAGTCAGCGCGAGGGGGTGGACTTCTTTCAGACTTTCGCTCCTACGCCGAAGATGACTACTCTTCGGGTTCTGTTACACGTAGCGGCTCAGCGTGACTACGAGCTTCACTCCCTCGACTTCTCCACTGCCTTCCTTCAGGGCAGCCTTCACGAGCAGGTCTACCTGCGTCGTCCTCAGGGCTTTACTGGCACTTTCCCCCCTGGGACCCAGTGGGTTCTGCGGCGTCCAGTCTACGGCCTGCGCCAGGCGCCTCGTGAGTGGCACGACACGCTGCGTGCTACCCTTGCTGACCTGCAGTTCTTTCCGTCCTCTGCAGACCCCTCGCTCTTCGTTGGTGCTGGCCCGACTCCGTTCTACATCCTTGTCTACGTAGACGACCTGGTCTTTGCCACAGCTGACAGGGACGCACTGGCCTCCGTGAAGGCAGAGCTGCTGAAGAGACACACCTGCACTGACCTTGGAGAGCTGCGCCGTTACCTTGGCTTGCAGATCTCCAGGGACAGAACCGCGCGCACCATCACCCTGACTCAGTCACACTTGGTGCGCCAGGTCCTTCAGAGGTTCGACCTTCAGTTCTCCTCCGCACAGCCCACCCCTCTTCCTCTGGACCACAGACTCTCCGCTCCAGTTCCTGAGGAGTCGGTAGATCCCAGTGGTCCTTACGCTGAGCTAGTGGGTTGCCTCATGTACCTGATGACTTGCACTCGCCCAGATCTCGCATACCCTCTCAGCATCCTGGCTCGTTTCGTGGCCACAGGCAGACACCGACCTCAGCACTGGTCTGCCGCTAAGAGGGTTTTGCGTTATCTTGCAAGTACATCGGGCATGGGGTTAGTGCTAGGCGGACGCAGGCCAGTGGTCCTTACTGGACACACAGACGCTTCTTGGGCAGACGACGCCGAGACGCTCAGGTCTTCCCAGGGCTACTGCTTTAGCCTTGGCTCAGGTGCTGTCTCGTGGAGAGCTACCCGCTCCTCGTCTGTTGCCCAGTCCAGCTGTGAGGCTGAGATCTACGCCGGTGCCATGGCGGCACAGGAGCTCCGCTGGCTGACCTTCTTGCTCAATGACTTAGGTGAGCGGCCTAGCTCTGCCCCGGTCTTGTACGCTGACAACAGGGCCATGATCCTCCTGTGTCAGGAGCCTCGACTCGAGGGTAGAGCGAAGCACATCCAGCTGCGGTACTTCCTCCTGCGCGAGCTCCAGCAGCGTCGCCAGACTCGCGTAGTACACTTGGCCTCCGGTGCCAACACAGCTGATATCTTTACGAAGGCGCTTGCGCCTAAAGATCATCAGCGGCACTGTGTACAGCTTGGTCTGGTTCCTGTAGTCCCTCACTTACTCGGGCCTTGACTTTGTACTGTCCTACATATATGTGTACACTCAGACTGGACTTGTGTCCTCTCACAGTGGTTGGACTAGTAGTGCCGCCCTATACTTGTTCTTGTCTTGTCTGTACTCCTTCTGACTGGTCTTTTAGACCCTTGTCTCAGAGGCTGGACTAGTAGTGCCGCCCTGAGCTGCTTGTTTAGGACATTCCCCTATGCAGTCCAGGGGGTGTGTCAAACATGTTTATTGATCATGTTTGTATAGACTGTATAGGGTAACCTCCTAGAGGGTACAACATTTAGGAATATGTGCATGTACTCTCTAACTCTATGATCATTCAAATTCTAGTTTTGAGAGGGTTGACTCTAACATTCGCGAGCAGCACCTGACGCGTCGCATGCATGCCGCGTGTCATTCCGTTTCGTCGAAACGAGTCGTGCAAATCGTGCAACCCCTTGCGAATCGTACTATCCTGGTACTGAACAGCTTCTTGAAGATCAGCAATTACAGCATGGTGTTCAGACGCGTTTGTTGCTATCCTGGTACTGAACACCACTCCGTAGGAATACGCCCTATGAGTGACGACCTGGTGATTCAAAAGCGCAGAGGAGAGTTCCGATACGGCAGGCGTTGTGTGACAGGCCCTCATGATATGGTTCTAAAGAGGGCTCATGCAGGTCGCTGCACTCATGCAGTCCCCGCAGCGAGTCGCCGCGGACCAAGGTCCTGGCGAGGGCGCTGAGGGACGAACATGCAGGGGAAGGGCGAGGGGAGAGAGAAGGGGGATGAGGAGAGGGTGGAGGGTGGGGAAGTGAACGGATGCGCAGTTGGGCATGGAAGGAGATTGCCATGTGCACATGCATGCATGGTGGCGGCGACTCACGGCGTCGAATGCGCGAGGGCGTCGGTCTCCCGCATAGCTGAGGAACTCGCATGCCCTGCCGGACCTGCCTCACACAACTGCATGCATGCACGCATGGCAGCACAGACTCACAGCGTTGAATGCGAGGGTGCGTCGGTCGCCCACATAGCTGAGGAACTCGAGCACCTGGCTGTCAGGCACCTTCAGCGGCGCCGCTGGGAGCAGGTAGGGGGGAGAAAGTGAGGATAGGAGAGAAGAGAAGAGGCGATTCAGTGTGAGGAGGGAGTAAGGAGACAGCAGGGTTATTGAGGGTGGGGGAACAGTGCAATCAGCTGAATCCATTCAGCTCACTCACCTTGCAGCAGCTAGTCACTCATGCGCCCAGCACGTGCAACCCATCCACTCACCTCCCCCTGCCATTCAACCCCCACCCCCCTGCCACTCACCAACCCCCCCTGCCCCTCACCCCCCCCTGCCATTCAACCCCCCCTGCCGTTGACTCACCCAGCACGAACCAGTCGACCGCATCGGAGCATGAGGGGTCAGCCAGGGAGCCCTGGTAGTGGATGTACGCGTGGGAGCCGTCCTGGGGGGAGAGGGAGGGGGATGGGATGGTTCACGGTGGGGGAGGAAGAAAATGGGGGTGTGGGGGGAGCATGGCAGAGCGGCAAGGGAGCCCGGGTAGTGGATATACACATGGGATCCGCCCTGCGACACAGAGAGGGGGGGAGATGTTGAGAGCGTGCGTGCATGCGCTGATTGTGTGTGTGTGTGTGTTACACTCGTGGGTCCATAAAGCTATGTGTGTGCGCATACCAGCGCTCACAGCCCTGTCAGCAGGTGGCAGCAGCAGCAGTGGGCTGGTGTGGATGCAAAGAGGAGAGAGGGAGAAAGAAGCAGAAAGATAGGGAGATAGGGAGATAGACAGAGAGACAGAGAGATAGAGAGATAGAGCACCAAGGAAGGGAATGAGAGGGGAACGAGGGGAACGAGGGGAACGAGGGCAACGAGGGCAACGAGGGCACTCACGGGCCTGTCAAGGGGCGGCAGCAGCGGCGCGGGGCTGGTCTGGATGCGCAGGCATTGCTGCAGGGCGGACCGCATGCCCCCACTGCCCACCACCGGCACCTCCAGACACTCCTGGGGAGCGGCGCTGCAGGGGGTAGGGTTGGGGGGAGGCGCACGGGGCGGCACAGGGGAGGGGTGGGGAGGGTGGGGCGGCTGCGTGGTGCCCCCACTGCCCACCAGCGGCACGTCCAAGCATTCCTGGGGGGCGGCGCTGAAAGGTGGGGTGGGGATGGAGGGGTAATGGGAGGAGCGAATGTGGGGCGAATGTGACTGGGATAGCAGCAGCACCTCCGGCGCTCCTGTCATGTGGAGCTGGGGGGTGGGGAAGGATTAGGGGAGGGGAGATATTCTGTTGCTATCGCCCCATAACACATATGCATGGGACGCACCCATAACCCTCTCCCATGTCATCCATTGTTCCCCCTTTACCTTTACCATACTCGTGATTTCTCCCCCAACTCACCATACCCCATCTCCTTACACTCCCACCTCGCCGCACTTCCATCACTCACGGCTGCCTCTCCTCCCCTCTCCCTCTCACGCTCTCCCGCACTCACTTCTTCTTGTTCCTCTCATTGGGGCTGAACGCCAGGGCGGCTTCCAGGCACAGGTTGCGCGGCGCCTTGGGGTCCGCCTCCACCATCACACTTAGGGCGAGCACGGGCGAGCATGGTTGGGGACATGGGATGGGATGCGATGGGATGGGATGCGATGGGATGGGATGCGATGGGATAAGGATAGAGAGGGGCGTTGGAGAGTAAAGGCGGCACAAGTTGCGCGGCGCCTTGGGGCCCGCCTGCACTTTTGAGTCGACTCAAAAGCCACTGCGCCTGCACCGCCAAGCTGCACACATGGGAGGAATGGGGGGCTGGGAGGGGGGGATTATTGGGGGGACGGATGGGGAGCACATGGGACCATGGCGGAGAACGATAAGGACCATGCTGCCTGTGGGAACTGCCGCACGCGATAAGTCAGCAGCATTTGATCCGAGCAGCTGTGTCTAGACCGTCGCCACAACACCATGACCCCCCTCCCTCTAACACTGCGTGCTTGTCGCCACGTGACAAGGAGATTGCCAGGCCCCTCGCTCACCCAACCAGCTCATGCCAACTCACCCAATCACTGCCAGCTTGCCGTCAGCATCGCCTGCAAGGGAACGAGGGGGAGGAAGACGGGGAGGGGGGGGGGGAGTGGGGGGGAAGGGGGGAAGGAACAGATAACAGGGGAGGGGGTTGGTGGGCGGTGGGGAGATTGGGAGAGCAGAGGGCTGAGAGGGACAAGAGTCGCAACTCAAAGAAGGTGCGATGGAAAATGCGGCTGCTTTCTAATGACCCAGGAAATATGATCTCCTTGTGTCAGTCTGTTGCAGTGCCACGGTTCAATGAAAGTCACGTCCCTCGCTACAGTCACGTACGGTGGACGAGGTACCCTCATTACAGTCACATCCCTCGCTACAGTGACGTACGGTGCACGAGGTGCGCCTCCATGGGCGAGCGCACGCCGTTGAAGGAGTGCTCGCTGGGCGCGTGGAAGTGGTACTGTAGCAGCTGCAGCTGCCGCCCGCCCACCACGCACGAGTTGCTGCCGTCCGGAAAATTCACCTGCGTTCAGCGGAAGAAGGGGACGAGAGGAGAGAGAGGAGGCGAAGGGGCAAGGGTGGGCGAGCATAGAGGGCAGGGAGGAGAATAGGTGCGCGCGATGATGCACGCGGGTAAACCTGATGCCACGTGGCATTCACAGCAGGCGCACGTGTTTGCACTGTGATTCTGACGTGTGCATTGGGCATTGGGCGACTCGCCTGCATGGTGCCATGCCCCGTGTTGAGGAACGACGCCTCGGCGTTCTTATACGCGAATGTGATCTTGCCGAGGCCGTTGTCTCTCGTCAGCTTCGACGTCGCGTTCAGCGGAGCGTCGATGGCGAGCTTCGCGTCGCCCGCGGCGCACAGCTCGCCCCACTCCATGGGCCCGGAGACGTCGCCCTTGCTCCAATCGGCGGCCAGTGCGGCCCCGATAGAGGATCCCCCGTTAGAGTCACAGATGGGGCAACCCACCACGGCCGCCATGCCGGCCGCCAGCCCGCCGAGGATCAGCCGCCGATTGACGACGCGCTGCCCGGTGTGCCCGTGAGAGGCGCTTCCGGGCTCTGCGGCGGCCGATTTTCCGTCTTTCGCGGCGCAGCGGACGGCAATGGCGGGGGCGTTACTGGCGGTTGGGAGGGGAGCTGCGCAGGAGGCGAGGCTGACGGGTCGGCCGAGCATCTCACATTTCTCCAGCGATGACTGGACGCACGCGGCCAGCGGCCCGCGAAGCGACGAGGACGAGGCAAGAGCAGCCATTGAATAGGCAAGGGGAACCGAGCTGACGACAATGGAGGCAGAAGTTATTATGTATCCTGGATGCCGTCTATGAGTGATGAGCTGAGGTGACTCTCACTCGTCATCACTTATTATCAGCAGTGAAATGGTGAAGGGATTGATCATTCAGCTCGTGGTGGCTCGAGCTGATGGGCGTCATAGCTGGCGGGTGGTGGCTAAGGGGCAGCGCAACTTTCTAAAAGGATTTGCCGTGCCTCGTTTTGGGGGTTACTTGAACCACGTCTTTCGGAGAGGAGATGATGCAACTGTGGGAGAAAAGTTGGAAGTCTTCGTGTTTAGCCACACCACTAAACGTCACCGCTAAGACTAGGTGGGTGGAAATACATTCTTTGAGCTACACACGACTCTTCTGTGGCGTCTGAGCCTCGCATAATCGACGGTTCTCAAATGTCTATCAGCCAGTCAATCAATATCCGACATCCGCCTCCGAATCGCGCGCTCGATATGATGGCCATGTCATCACGAACCAGCAGATCGGATTCCACGTGGTGAAGCCTACTTACTGCAGGGCCTCAGTAACAAATATAGGTACGCAGGAAAACAGTTCACAGATAAGCATCATATGCGGACGAATTACCAAAGCCCTCTTGCTCGTCGACCAAAGTGGGAATTTCTCTTTCCCCCTCCCAAGAATTCCGTGATTGACCAGTCTGCGCTGGCACTGTCGCGCTTGTGTCACCACAAGTTCTTCCTCCACGCAACGTGGAGAATCCGCGGCATGCGGGGCTACCCACAGGCGCGACCAAAGGGACTTCTCCTCGCATTCTGAACCCCCAATCAAAGCAATCCGCGTGTTCGGTCATCGTGCAAGGCAAACACCCCCAGCCCAGATACAACCAAGGCCCTCGAACTTGTCGCTGCTGGGTATGAGGCAAGGGGTACCAAGGGTGATTTGAAAGGGGGTGCAGGCAGCAGAGCAAACTAGCAGTGCGATGATTAGACTGCAAGCACGTAGTTGATCTGACAGAAATCGCCTACCGCCTTAGATCTACAACGGCCAGCGGCCGACCACGGGTCAGCCATGGCGTCTAACGCGTTTGAAACGTACTGGAAGGTAGGGTGGACGTAGCACAGGATACAGAAGCGTTATTTCTCGGGTCGTAATCTGACGTGAACGGCGTTCTCTGCAGGTTTTGACAGATAACTTCACAGACTTCCAGCTGGCGACCATAGGAAGCTTCCTGATTCATGAGTGCGTCTTTTTCATGTCTGGGCTGCCTTATCTTATCCTAGAGAATCTTAATGTCCGAAACTACAAGCTCCAGGTGCGTCGTCCTCGGGTAATCTCTCGTTATACGGCGTCATTGGCAGGTCACGGTAGATTCTGAATGTGATTTTCTCCATTGCAGAAAAAGTCGAACCCGGCATCGTCACAGATCAAATGCATTCTGAAGCTGCTGATGTACCACTGCCTCGTCAACCTACCGATGATCATGGCGTCCTACCCGGTCTTCAAGTATATGGGCTTCAGGAGCACGCTTCCCCTCCCTCACTGGTACTGCTTCCGCTCGCTTTACCATTTAAGGGTAAAGGTTTCGTCTTCGCTGTAAACTTTTCCTCGTTTCAATACCACGCTTGCAGGAGTACTATCGTCACCCAGATTGTGAGCTATTTCCTTATCGAGGATTTCGTGTTTTATTGGGGTCACCGTGCGCTGCACTCCAAATGGCTGTACCAGAACGTCCACTGCGTCCACCATGAGTGAGTGCTGCTGCCAAAACGTTCCACTTTACTCCACGTCTCCCACCTCTGGGGTATTAAGTCTCCATTTTATATCTCTTTTGTGGGCTCTCAGGTACGCGACGCCGTTCGGGTTGACATCCGAATATGCGCATCCCGCGGAGATCCTGTTCCTAGGCTTCGCCACCATCCTCGGCCCAGCCCTCACCGGGCCGCATCTGCTCACCCTCTGGCTCTGGATGAGCCTTCGAGTCCTTGAAACTGTTGAAGCGCACAGCGGATTCGAGTTCCCCTGGAGTCCCTCGCGCTTTATTCCCCTTTATGGCGGGTGAGTTCATCATTCACTAGATGAAGCCATTACACCTTGTATGGGATGTCCTCTCAGCAGAATATGACATTCGCATTAACTGCAGGGCGGAGTACCACGATTATCATCACCGCTGCGTGTACACCGACTCGGGCAACTACTCGTCCACGTTCATCTACATGGACTGGTATGTGGCTGTGACTTCTTTGCACATACGGTATGCCCTAAGATGCGCTCTGACTGTCATGCTATGCATGGTGCAGGATCTTTGGCACTGATAAGAACTACAGGAGAATGAAGGCTTTGAAAGCAGGCAGTGCCAAGGACGAGGCGCCTACTACTAATGGTACGAAGAAGGACTCTTAGACTACAGAAGGTTCCTAAATAGACGCATTCTTCCAGGCCTTGCAATGCCAAGGCGTAACATTCACGCCCTCGCTGAGGGCGTACTAGTTGGCTTGTTTTGTATCTGTCAACCACTTCATACCTACCACACGTTCCCATCTTCTAGGCAAGGTGTACTAGGGGGCCATAAGTCTTTCACCATACTCCCATGCATCGTTCCCCTCTTTTCATACTTCCTGTGTGAAAATGAGAGCTCAACGGGAGGGATGGTGTATCGGGCCATGTTTTGGGGGGGAGGGTGGAGGACTGAGTGATGACAGGAAGAGGCTGGGGTGTGCACAGGACGCAGTCAGTGCATGAGGCCAAGACTGCGCGACGGGTAGATGTGCGAGCTTGGGTTGTTTGCGATCAGGTTGGGGAATGTGGAGTGAAGGGTGGGTTGAAGGGTGGGTTGAAGGGGGGGTTGGATGAAGGGGAGAAGGCAATGTCCAAAGAAACCTAAAGCAGAGATGTATGGGCATGTTCATTTTCAGGAGCAGCTCCCCAACCGGACATTCACCAAAGTTTACCACGTCAAATTAAATATAACACGTAGTCCACAACACCGTACTGCTTTCAACCTCTGTGAGTGGTCGACCATGAAGCGTGTTATAAGAAAATGTGATGCAGCCTAAGTGCACAATTGGAGACATTACTATCTGTGGTTGGAATGGAAAGATTGTGTACGGAGACGACAAGAGTCGAGAGCAATGCGAGAACTGTACCACACCACTCTGCAATAACGGGGAATTTCCTTCTCATCATGATCCACAGCTATTTCTCGCCTTCCAGCAGATCACACCACAATTGTGTTCAATCGGGTTCCTCGCAGCCCATCCCAGCTACTCACAATCTAGCTTTCTGTGGTCTGCATTCCTCTCTTTCATCCATCCGGCTTCCTGATCCGGTCGTCGGAGCATTTGTGGATTGCCTGGTGCTTGTTTCTGCGCTCATTGCTGCACCCTGGCAACTCAGTTGCATCGATTGCTCCGCTCAGGCAGGGAAATCCAAAACCGAAACGGGTCCTGAAATTCTCGAATTTAGGGTTGCGGACAAGTCGATGTCAGAAAGAAGGTCGAGACTTCTGTAACTAGTCGTGCTGGCTAAGATTAGATTTAACGCCGTCTCTCGTCAGGCCAGCTGGCTGCTCGCCGGCTGATGCGGCGATGACGGGGCCGCTGCCGTCGCCAGCCAATCGCACGCGGTTCAAGACGCCCGAGGGGCGATACCTGCTGTCGCACGAGAAGCTTCATCCCGCGGGACTCATCCAATACGCGCATCAACGCAGCCCCACCAAGGTGCCGCCCGCTCGCCACGTGTCCGGCGCAGATCCCTCCATCGCAAGGGTCAGACGCCACGATACCGTCACCCGTTCCATTATCAGTGAATGGCGTCGTTCCATCTCTCGTCTCGCCGCCGTCCTGTGGTTGCTTCACCTGTATACACTCTCTTATCCGTCGCAATCCTCGCCTGCATCGGCAGTCTCTCCTGCCACCTGCATCCTAAATAGTTATGTTCCCTCCAATGTGCCTTGCGATCTTCCCAGTCCCATTCACGTTTCCCGTGCCTTCCACTGCAGCAGTCGCATTCCGCCTGCCCCTCTCACTGTCCCCCCCTCCCCCCCCCCCCCCCCTGCACCCCCGGACGCTTTTGTTCGGCGCAGATCACATTAGCGCATCTCGAGGATCGGCCTCCGCCTGTTCGCCCTCCTTCACCGTTGCCAGCTGCCACGTCAGCAGGCTCCAGATTCGCCAAGAACTTTCTAGGAGCGGGAAGCGGCACTCGAGGGCTGCCCTTTGGCGGTGGAAATGGCCGGCAGTCAGGTGAGAATGGTGGTGAGATTGGCCGTCAATCTGGTGAGGTTGGCCGTCAATCTGGTGTAAGTGGCCGTCAGTTAGGTGGAAGTGGCAGTGAATCAGGTAGGTCGCTGGCCCACCGTCTTGGCAGTCCCTCCCTTGCCGTACCTCCCGCACTTCCTTCCCCTTCCTCCCCTTACTCCCTGCCTCCGCGCCTCCCGCATCCTCCCCTCCCATTCCCCTCCCGCCTCCTCCCCTTCCACCATGTCTCCCCCACCCTTCCACACCCCCCTAATGCCCCACTATCCCCCCCCACCCCCCTAATGCCCCACTATCCCCCCCCACCCCCCTAATGCCCCACTATCCCCCCCCACTATGCCCCCCACTTCCCCTGCAGCAACGGCACCAGCAGCCAGTGGCGCATCTGCCGGCACGGGGGCTGCAGGCAGCAGCAACGGGCCCGTGGGGAGAACAGGGGGAGGTGGAGGGGGGGGGGAGAAGGAGAAGGCGGGGGGCGAGGGGGAGGGGTCGTATGTGATCTTCAACGTTGGCGAATCACTCTTTGTGGCGGATGCCAACAGCACAGACAAGGTGGGGCGGGCATCCCCCTGTCCATCTTTCTCTCTCTCTATTTCTCGTCCCCCTTCTCGCTCCCACTCCCCCAACCCCTCTCTCCCACACCACCTCCCTTCCTACCCGCCCTTCCCCCGACCCCCTTCTTCCTCCCTCAACCCAGTACCCCCTCAAGGCCTCAGTTCAACGCCACCAGTCTCTTTCCTCCCCCCCTCTCTGTCCCTTCTCCCCCCTTCGCTTCAGGGGCCCCGTGAAGGCCATTCGGTTCAACGGTCTATACCACGCCTTTGACGCCTCACACTCACTCCCCCCCTCCCCCCCTCCCCCCCTCCCGCCAGGACCCCCTCAAGGCCATCCAGTTCAACGCCACCAGCGGCCTCTCCTATGCCTTTGACGCCCCCCGCTCACTCCCGCTCACTCCCGCTCACTCCCACTCACTCCCACTCACTCCCACTCACTCCCACTCACTCCCACTCACTCCACTCACTCCCACTCACTCCCACTCTCGCCCACTCACTCCCACTCACTCCCACTCACTCCCACTCACTCCCACTCACTCCCACTCACTCCCACTCACTCCCACTCACTCCCACTCACTCCCACTCACTCCCACTCACTCCCATGCACTCCCACTCACTCCCACTCACTCCCACTCACTCCCACTCACTCCCACTCACTCCCACTCACTCCCACTCACTCCACTCACTCCCACTCACTCCCACTCATCCTACTCACTCCCACTCACTCCACTCACTCCCACTCACTCCCACTCTCGCCCACTCAATCCCACTCACTCCCACTCACTCCCACTCACTCCCACTCACTCCCACTCACTCCCACTCACTCCCACTCACTCCCACTCACTCCCACTCACTCCCACTCACTCCCACTCACTCCCACTCACTCCCACTCATTCCCACTCACTCCCACTCACTCCCACTCACTCCCACTCACTCCCACTCACTCCCACTCACTCCCACTCACTCCCACTCACTCCCACTCACTCCCACTCACTCCCACTCACTCCCACTCACTCCACTCACTCCCACTCACTCCCACTCTCGCCCACTCACTCCCACTCACTCCCACTCTCGCCCACTCACTCCCACTCACTCCACTCACTCCCACTCACTCCCACTCTCGCCCACTCACTCCCACTCACTCCCACTCACTCCCACTCACTCCCACTCACTCCCACTCACTCCCACTCACTCCCACTCACTCCCACTCACTCCCACTCACTCCCACTCACTCCCACTCACTCCCACTCACTCCCACTCATTCCCACTCACTCCCACTCACTCCCACTCACTCCCACTCACTCCCACTCACTCCCACTCACTCCCACTCACTCCCACTCATCCCACTCACTCCCACTCACTCCACTCACTCCCACTCACTCCCACTCTCGCCCACTCACTCCCACTCACTCCCACTCACTCCCACTCACTCCCACTCACTCCCACTCACTCCCACTCACTCCCACTCACTCCCACTCACTCGACTCACTCCCACTCACTCCCACTCTCGCCCACTCACTCCCACTCACTCCCACTCTCGCCCACTCACTCCCACTCACTCCCACTCACTCCCACTCACTCCCACTCACTCCCACTCACTCCCACTCACTCCCACTCACTCCCACTCACTCCCACTCACTCCCACTCATTCCCACTCACTCCCACTCACTCCACTCACTCCCACTCTCGCCCACTCACTCCCACTCACTCCCACTCACTCCCACTCACTCCCACTCACTCCCACTCACTCCCACTCACTCCCACTCACTCCCACTCACTCCCACTCACTCCCACTCACTCCCACTCACTCCCACTCACTCCCACTCACTCCCACTCACTCCCACTCACTCCCACTCACTCCCACTCACTCCCACTCACTCCCACTCACTCCCACTCACTCCCACTCACTCCCACTCACTCCCACTCACTCCCACTCACTCCCACTCACTCCCACTCACTCCCACTCACTCCCACTCACTCCCACTCACTCCCACTCACTCCCACTCACTCCCACTCACTCCCACTCACTCCCACTCACTCCCACTCACTCCCACTCACTCCACTCACTCCCACTCACTCCCACTCATCCTACTCACTCCCACTCACTCCACTCACTCCCACTCACTCCCACTCTCGCCCACTCAATCCCACTCACTCCCACTCACTCCCACTCACTCCCACTCACTCCCACTCACTCCCACTCACTCCCACTCACTCCCACTCACTCCCACTCACTCCCACTCACTCCCACTCACTCCCACTCACTCCCACTCACTCCCACTCACTCCCACTCACTCCCACTCACTCCCACTCACTCCCACTCATTCCCACTCACTCCCACTCACTCCCACTCTCTCCCACTCACTCCCACTCACTCCCACTCACTCCCACCCTCCCTCCCGTCTCCTCCTCGCCAGGACCCCCTGAAGGCCATCCAGTTCAACGCCACCAGCGGCCTCTGCCACGCCTTTGACGCCGCTGCAGCCTCCAGAGACGCCCAGGGCACGGCGCCCAGGGACGCGCACGACCTCCTTATCGGCACCAACTCGGGCGACAGTGAGTGGCCTCCTTATAGTCACCTCATATTCCTTCCTCTCAGCCGAGGTTCTGACCCCATGGCCGAGGAACTGGCCCCATGGCCGAGGTACTGGCCCCATGGCCGAGGTACTGGCCCCATGGCCGAGGAACTGGCCCCATGGCCGAGGTACTGGCCCCATGGCCGAGGTACTGGCCCCATGGCCGAGGTACTGGCCCCATGGCCGAGGTACTGGCCCCATGGCCGAGGTACTGGCCCCATGGCCGAGGTACTGGCCCCATGGCCGAGGAACTGGCCCCATGGCCGAGGTACTGGCCCCATGGCCGAGGTACTGGCCCCATGGCCGAGGTACTGGCCCCATGGCCGAGGTACTGGCCCCATGACCCCCATGCCTGTTACTTCCCCTCCTTTTCCTAACTCTGCCATCATTCCCCCTCTGATGCCCTCCGTCCCACTCCCCCACTATCCCTATTTCTCTCCTCTCTTCCCTCCCCCCTTCCCCCCCCCGCCCTTCCTCCCCCTCTCCTCCCCTCTCTCCAACGCACGAAGCCTCAGTTCCCAATCTCCCCCTGTTGCCTTCCCTCCCCCTCTCACTTCCCCCCTGTCAGTCTGCACGGCTGTTTGAGAGCGCAGGTGGCAGACAGCAGCAAGACGCTGGTGGGGGCCACTCTACTGAAGTGAAGCACCTCAATGTGTGCGCCCCTTCCCCCCTCCCGTCTCGCCCTTCCCCCTTCCCGTCTCGCCCTTCCCCCCTCCCGTCGCGCCCTCCTCTTCCCCCCTCTCTCCTCGCCCGCCCATCTCCCAGTCTACACGGCGTCCCTGAGAGCGCAGCTGGCGGACGGCACCAAGAAGCTGGTGGGGGCGGCGCACTACAGCAACAGGGACAGCGCCGCCAGCAGTGGCAGCGGCATTGGGAGCAGCAGCAGCAGCAGCAGTGGCAAGGACAGCAGCGGTGGCAGCGGCAGCCGGTGCACGGCGGTGGCGTGGGTGCCTGGATCCGATGGGGTGTTTGTGACCGCACATGCCGACGGCAACCTCTATGTCTTTGACAAGGTGTGATGGGCTGTGCTGCCTTGTCATGCCATGCCTTGTCATGCCATGCCGTGCATTGCAATCTGGTGGCAAGCAATGAGTGGTACAGCTAGAAGCTTGCATTCCAAAGCTCCTTGGTGTATGAACGATTCCCCCCTCTTCCCCCCGTGTCCGTTCCCTCAACCGCCACCCAACAACCTTCCGCCCTGGTTCCCAACCCCCCAACCCCACCCCGTCTCCCCTCCCTTCCCAGCATCGCGACGGCACCACGGAGCCGGCCTTTCCTCCCATCAAGGACCTCCATGCTTTCTCCACGGCTCATGCGCGCTCCAACAAGGTCTGACACCAGTCTCTCGCATGATTACCCCATGCCTACTACCTGCCTTGGCTTGCTCCTCCAGCTCATCTTGCTGACATAGCAATGGCACTTCCTTCGAATCCCTCTTATGAACATCACCTCTCAGCACAATTGTTGCCATCCGTGTTGCCATCCGTGTTGCTGCATGTCCCCGTGCACCCTCACCCCCAGAGCAATCCCACGGCGCGGTGGCACATCTCTCCTTCAGCCATCACTGCCATCGCCTTCTCGCCCTCTGGCTCGCACATGGCCACCGTGTCAAGAGACGGTGAGTGTGCAGGGCGAGGGGTGATGGCACATGGCACATGGCACATGTATAGGCTGTCTGTCACCTTTCTACTTGTGCTGCTGCTGTGACCTGCTGTCTATCTCTCGCTCTTGTGTCTCTGCGCCCGTCTCCTGCACTCCACACTCCGGCGCCTCTCGGAGGCCATGCTCCATGCTCCATGCTCCATGCTCCATGCTCCATGCTCCGTGCTCCGTGCTCCATGCTCCATGCTCCATGCTCCATGCTCCATGCTCCATGCTCCATGCTCCATGTTCCACGCTCCCCATGCTCCATGCTCCATGCTCCATGCTCCATGCTCCATGCTCCATGCTCCATGCTCCATGCTTGCTGCGTGCTGCTTGCTGCAGGCTATCTGCGGGTGTTTGAGTGGGAGCGGGAGGCGCTGGAGGGCGGGTGCAAGAGCTACTACGGTGCGTTCCTCTGCTGCGCCTTCAGCGGCGACGGGCGGCTGGTGGCGGCAGGGGGGGAGGACGACCTGGTGGCGGTTTGGGACCGACACTCGCATTCCGTGCTCGCGTGGTGCGAGGGGCACTGCTCTTGGGTGAGGGGCACTGCTTTTGGGTGAGGGGCACTGCTCTTGGGTGAGGGGCACTGCTCTTGGGTGAGGGGCACTGCTCTTGGGTGAGGGGGATCATTGGCATTGTCGCTCCTGTTGCGCTTATCCCAGTCAACACACTACTGCTCTTCTCTCTCCTTGTCTCCTTGCGTCCGCTCCTCTCCTGCTCAATCTCTTCTCCTGCTTTCCACTCCGCACATTCTGTCACCCTCTCTCCTCTTTCTCTCCTACCTTGCCCGCATCTCTCACCACCTGCTTTCCGATTTGCACGCACCCTCCCTATCTGCTCTCTCGCCTTTCCATGCACCTCTCTCCCTTCCTCTCTTCCCGGCCCTCTCCCCCTTCTCTCATCTCGCCCATCTCGCCAGGTCACCGCTGTGGCGTTTGACCCCTTCCTCGCCGCCACACCCCCCTCATCAACCACCGCCCCTCCTGCCACCACCACCACTGCTGCCGCCACAACCCTCCCTTCCTCCACCGCCATTCTCCCCACCAGCACCAGCAGCAGCACTGCTTTGGCGAGCCCTGCAGGTGCAGTGGGGAGCTACAGACTGGGCTCCGTGGGGCAGGTGAGCCCAGGGAGGGGGGGAGATGAGGGAGAGGCAGGAGCCGAGCGAGTGGAGCACTGTCTGCTGTGGTGGTGTCCCACGCTTTCCTTTCCAGTCCTGTCTCTGTGATCTTGGAGTCCTCTCAGCTGTTGTGCCCGCAACACATTTCATGCCTCGTTTGTGGGACCCCATCCCCTTCCACATTCCCCCTTCCCCCATCCCCTTCCACATTCCCCCTTCCCCCATCCCCTTCCCCATTCCCCCTTCCCCCATCCCCTTCCCCATTCCCCCTTCCCCCATCCCCCATTCCATTCCCCCTTCCCCCTTCCCCATTCCCCCTTCGGCCTTTCCCCCACCACCCACGCACCCACCCGCCCCATCAGGACACCCAATTGCTCCTATGGGACGTGACTCTAGACGATGTCGTGCTCCCCCTGCGCCACCACGCACCCCATCCCCACCATCAATCACCAGCTGCCACGTCAGCATCCCACCCTCATGACGTGGCTTCGACCAGCACCCCACCCGTCCCCCACTCGCACTCTCGCTCCCACTTCTCCCACTTCCACTCTCACTCACCCGGCCACGCCTCCCCTAGCCGAACACATGGCGCCACATCAGCACCAGGAACCGCCTCGTCAGCTTCATCACTAGGTCCGGGCAGAACTAGTGGCGGCAGCAGTGGGGCTTTAAGAGATGCAGCTGCATCTAATGCAGCAGCAGCAGGGGTGCTGGTTCCGCCTCCTTCGAGAAAGGACGTGCCGCGAATATCACCAGTCATGGCACACAAGGTATGCCCACCCGCCTCGCACACTCTTTGCCGCCCCCACCAGTTGTTTCTGGCATGCATCCCCATCCCCATCCGCATCCATCCAACCACCGCCTGCCCTGCGTCCCTGCATCGATCCGTGTGTGCCTCGTGCTTGTGGCGTGCATGAATGGCCATGAACGTGTGTCTCCTGGTCATGCGGGCATGAATGGCCATGAACGTGTGTCTCCTGGTCATGCGGGCATGAATGGCCATGAACGTGTGTCTCCTGGTCATGCGGGCATGAATGGCCATGAACGTGTGTCTCCTGGTCATGCGGGCATGAATGGCCATGAACGTGTGTCTCCTGGTCATGCGGGCATGAATGGCCATGAACGTGTGTCTCCTGGTCATGCGTGCATGAATGGCCATGAACGTGTGTCTCCTGGTCATGCGGGCATGAATGGCCATGAACGTGTGTCTCCTGGTCATGCGGGCAGGAATGGCCATGAACGTGTGTCTCCTGGTCATGCGGGCATGAATGGCCATGAACGTGTGTCTCCTGGTCATGCGTGCATGAATGGCCATGAACGTGTGTCTCCTGGTCATGCGGGCATGAATGGCCATGAACGTGTGTCTCCTGGTCATGCGGGCATGAATGGCCATGAACGTGTGTCTCCTGGTCATGTGTGCATGAATGGCCATGAACGTGTGTCTCCTGGTCATGTGTGCATGGTCCCTGCATGCCATTCGGGCTTCGCTCCACACATACGTCATGCATCTTTGCACGCATGTCCTGCCATGCCCTGCCCTGCCCTGCCCTGCCCTGCCCTGCCCCCAGGTGCATGTGGAGCCGCTCTCCTCGCTGGCCTTCGCCAGGGAGGGGGTGCTCACGGCGTGTCACGAGGGCTGTGTCAAGCTCTGGATCCGCCCCGGGGTCACGCCCCTGCCCGGCAGCATTGCCGCCTCCTCCGCTGCTGCTGCCACGGCCGCCACCACTGCCCCTGCCCTCGCTGCTGCTTCCGGTCCTGCTGCTGCTGCTGGTGCCACCACTGCCGCTGCTGCCCTCCCTGCCGCTTCCCCCTCGCCCCTGCCAGCCAACCCCCAGTTTGACTCTGCCTCCCTGGGTGACCCGCTCTCTGCATCGGACGTGGGTTCCGCCGTGCACCGTATGACAGCCGTGGATCCCCCTGGCAGCCTGGGTGCTGCTGCTGCATCAGCGAGAGATGTGAGGATGGGCGTCTCAGGCCAAAGGGGAGCGAGATGATTGCGCCTTCGCAAGGGCATGTGCTCACGTGCCTAGAAATGCATCCAAGCCAATGGCATGGTGTAACAAAGAACGCTATAACATGGCAATGGGCTGTAAAGTAGCGGTCCCCATGCTGTGAGCTGTAGTGGCCATGGCACCAGATGGATGTCGGATGTGCCCATGGACATGCAGCCAGATCCTCACGACGGACCAAGCTTCGTGGAACGATGTCGGTTTATGATATTCTGGTTAATGCATTATGCATGTAAGGTTAATGGCCACCAGAGATGTTGGTGAAATGTTGTGACGAGGAATAAAAGGGTCCAGGCACAGATTTGTGCCAGCCAACTTGTTCAGCTGCTGGCTGGTGCCAGTCTTGGCCACATAAGCAGCCATGAGTGGTGACATGGCACCCACTCACCCTGCACCGTGCACATGGCTTGATGCCCCCCACACCCCCACCATCCAGCATATTTATTTACTCATGGCAGCAGCAGCAGCAGTGGCAGCGAACACATCAGGGTGTGGCGCCAGTAGGTGCAGTAGCGGCTCTGGCACCTAGTGTGCGGCGGCCAGGCAATACCTGCGGTGCACGGCCGTGGCACACACACCTGCCGACGCTGGAAGGGCCAGTGGTGCTCGCATTCGGCCTTGTTTCTGTTTCAGGTTGACTCAATTATTTCAGCACAAGCATACAATGTGTTATGCTGGGTTCCTACCTATGGTTCCTATTGCCTACTGTACTGCATCAGGACACCTGCTAGCTACAGGCATACGTTTTGAGCGAGCCCTGTCAGGTCCAAGCTACAGGCATACGTTGTCATTTGTGCCTACTGTTGCGCTGGCGCGCTTTAACTCCGACCAGCAGCAGCAGCAGCAGCAGGCCGCAAGCGAGTGGCACCACTGCTGTGGAAGTGTGATATGCTGGGCAAAGCACCACCGTCCTTGCTGGCAACAGCAGCAGCAGCAGCAGCAGGGGCGGGGCGGTCAGCGGTGGTTTCTGCGAACATGTCGGGCGAGAGGGGCACGATGGCCACAGCCTTGTGCGCCTTCTTGCCGCCCGCCCTGCTCTTGGGGAACAGCTTGGCGCGGCGCTGGCGGAACATGTGCGTGTAGAGGTGCAGCCAGAAGAGGGGATACGCCGCCAGGATGACCTGCGGGAGTGGGGCAGTGGGGGAGTGGGGGAGTGGGGGAGTGGGGGAGTGCGGGAGTGGGGGAGTGGGGGAGTGGGGGAGTGGGGGAGTGGGAGGGGGAGGAGGGGATTTGGGGAGAGTGAGGGAGGGGAGAGGTAGTGTTAAAAAGTGGGGGAGGAGGTTGAGGGTGGTGGTTTGGTGGGCATGCGACGAGAGGAAGAGCGAGGCGCAGCGGGCAGGCAGCAAAACAAGGCTCAATGAGGAGGAGAACAAGGCGAATACCGCGTTGAGTGCCCTCGGACTACAGACAGGCACCGTGAGTGGCAGCACGCACCATGAGGACGTGGTAGTAGTCGAAGGGCAGGCGGTTGAAGACGAACGCGAGGGGCTGCTCCGCCTTGACGAAGGGCAGCGACAGGTAGATGAGCACCACTGGCACACGGGGAGGGAATGTGAGACGAAGGTGAGGGGGGGGGAGGGAGAGGGTGAGAGGGGCCGGGGGGAGGGAGAGGGTGAGAGGGGCCGGGGGGAGGGAGAGGGTGAGAGGGGCCGGGGGGAGGTGTGGGGGATGTGGAGGGGATCAGGGTGGGGGAGCAGAGCAGGGGCGAGTGAGTGTTGCTCCGTGTGAGAGGCTCGAAGCATGGGTGCGGTGCACCTGCCACTCCCTGGGGCCACGTCCTCATTACAGCACTGTACATTACAGTCACACTGCCTACGATAAATCACATCTGCCACTCCCATTCCCGCCACTCACTCTCGCCGCCGAACATGCCGATGGGGTACAGCGGGATGAACGCCGAGTACCGCAGCCACGTCAGCGCCGCCGGACACGTGCCCAACAGAGAGAGGGCGTACTGCGGATAGCGTATGACCTGTCAGGGTCGGGGGGTGAGGAGCGGGAATGAGAGAAGGGGACAAGCGCAACGTACGGGGAAGCGGATGGAGTGCAAGTGGCAGCGCTGCCTGGTCCGAGCCGCGAATTCGCGTCGGACAATCAGCACGCGGCAATGAGCCCGCGACAATCAGCACGCGGCAATGAGCCCGCGACAATCAGCCCGCGGCAATGAGCCCGCAACAATGAGCACGCGAGCCCTTCACCAACGGGCAGCGAACGCGCGTGCGGGCCAGTGGGCGCACCTCGGAGCAGCACCAGACGGCGAGCAGCACGAAGAGCGCCGCGTGCGCGTGGAGGGCGGGCGTGCGGCCCACCACGGCGAACAGCACAAAGCTCCGCCCCACCCACTGCACCAGCGGCGCCGCCACGCCGCTGCGCACCAAACCTGAGGGGGAGCGGCCGCGGGGAATGGAGGAGACGAGGGGAAGGGGGAAAGGGGGTTGGGAGCGGAGGGGAGAGCCAAGGCGCGGGGAGCAAGATTCGAGAGCGCGGGTGTCGGCGAGAGAAATCAGAAGGGCGGAGAGGAAAAGGGAAGGAGTTGAGGATAAGAGGCTTACCCGTGGCGGCGTGCACGGTCTCGAGAATGGACGCGAATTGACAGGCGTCTGCGGGGACGGGTGGGATGGAAGGCAGGCGACGAGTTGAGAGGCTCCTCAAAATACGGCGAGGGTCGCGAGGATGCGGGGAGACGCAACAGCTGGTCCGCCGCAAAATGAAAAATTTTCCCTATGGCTTTCGCGAGTTGACAGCGGAAGCGAGAGCAGTACGGTGAATGGGCATAAGGGAGCCGTGGAAGGGAGACGAGGCGGGGAGAGCAGGCGACGTACAGACGAGGGGCCACGCGACGTGGAAGGCGCCGGCGATGGAGGCGGTGGTGGCGGCGCTGTGCAGCATGGCGGCGAGCGCCACGGCCCTGATGCGGCGGGCGGTGGGTGGACAAGGGGATGGAGAGGGCGGTGAGATGGCAGGGAGGGGTAGGAAGGACGGTGCAGGAGAAGGCGCGAGTGGCATGGTGGGCTGACGCGCGACGTGGAGCGTGTGCGCGATTCACGGTGGACGGCGGCGGGGAATGCGATGCTGGTGGACGAACGAAGGCCGTGGAGCCGATACGAGGGGACGTGGAATCCTAGCTCGTTGCGCACAAATCGTGCGCAGAATACGGCGAGAAAAGGCTAACGAAACGCGGACTAGCAGCACGAGAAGCGGAGCGTCTTCGTACCATCCGGTGGCCTGTGCGAGGTTGTAGGCGGCGAGGTACGCTTTACTCGACGAAGCCATTCTTGTGAAGGGAAAGCAAGTCTTAGTGGAATATCCGAGCACACAAATTCCTCGGAGTCGAGCTAATCTAGAAGCGAACGAAGGAATCTTGATGAGCACAGGTTCTCTCCTAGCAGCAGTTCGCTTTTCTCAGAATCTCTCAGCTAGTGCACTACTAGACAGGTTCGCTTATGCGCTCGATAAGGCCTCAGTAATCCGCCTTTTCCGCTGCTCGGTGGAACGGAGGGGGGAATTGGGCGGTTGAAGAGCCCCTTCCGCTCTCAAATTCCACTCGGCCCATCGTCCCAATTCCCAAACAATCTTTCCGTTGATGCGTTGCGACGCGACTCAAGCTAGTCGCTCGCAACCGACGGCACGGCACACCCTACTACCGGTGCGCCACCACGGGTAACACCTGTGGGCCGCCCAATCGTGTTTGCTATTTTGAGCATACAACTGTCGCGAAAACTCGCCAACAACATCGCTGAACATTGAAGGCAAATGTTCCAAGGCGCCATCAATCATCAGCAGTTGCACTCGAGTGTGGCGATTGGCTGCGACGATGCTTTCCAAAAGTAGCGGAATGAGGGCGAGTCGCAAGAGCGTGGCGATTGGCGTCGGGCACCAGCTTTTGGCGAAACGTGGGCGCCAAAGCCTTTTCCAGCACCCCGCGTCAAATGTCCGCGAAATTCTGGAAGTGAACATTCCTTCCTGGTTTTGCCGTTGCGAAATCACGCAGAACCCTGGTAACCGAGGGGCCACACAAAAGAAACGAAAACAAAAAGAGGCACGATATGATTTTGCTGCGAAATGTGTAGTTCGCCCTTCCTGTATCGCTAACGGAGCTGTGTTATCGAATTGGATTGGTGGTTCCAATGCTCACCTATTTGCGCCATTCCAGACCACACGCATTCTTGTTCCGCGGCGCTTCAGAGTACACCTGGATTCCAAAAGCCACGCTGCGCTGCGCGCCATCAGCAGCCAATAGCAGCGCTCATCATGCGGAGTCGGAGGACAGTACAAGCGGGGCAGCAGGAGCCGATCCAGGCAGAGGGGGAGGCAGTTGAGAGAGCCAGCGTTGTCCGCGGGTGGCGATGGCGCAACCCCAATCCCCCCCTTCCGCGCCGTCATTCCCGAGGTCAGTCGAAGAAAAGTAACAACGACCCTTGTAATCCGTGGCGAATGTCATTTTCAAACTGCCCATCAGAGGCTCATCCAGTTTTGAGGCGCCTCAAAGCCGGCAGAGGCTCATCCAGTTCCTCCCCTCCTCTGGACCCCTGCGCTCTTCGCCTAAACCCGCTCAATCTCTCCGCGTCATTCGTCTGCGTCTTTCCCCTCCGCTCATCCCCGTGCCTCGTGTTACCTCGTGCCGCCCAGCGCCAGAAGAGGTGGTGGCAGACCGCCTCGTGGGCATCAAGTGGGCGGCAGCTGCTGTCCTTTTCCTCTTCTTCGGGTGCCCCATCTTCCTCCCCGCACCCCCCACCGACTGCCAGTACCTCGCGCCCATACTCCCCCCCTCCGCCTCCGCCTCTTCCCCCAGCACCCCTCCTCCTCCTTCCCCCCTGCACCGCTGCGCCATGGGCTATGCCGCCACTGCAGGGGTCGTGGGGGGCGGAAGACCGGGGGCAGCGCGGTACGTCGTGACAACAGCGGATGACGCTGTCGAGGGCGCGCCTGAGGGGAGCCTGAGGTGGGGATTGGCGAACCTTGGGGGAGGGAGCGGGGGAGGAGGGAAGGGGCAGGGGCTGTACGTCACGTTCAACCGGTCCATGACGATTCGGCTCAAGTCACGACTGTTCTTGGCGTCGCACACAACGATTGATGGGCGGGGCGTGCGAGTGCGGCTGCTGGGGAACGGGCTGGTGCTGCAGAACGTGAGCAACGTCATCATCCACAACATTGAGAGTGAGCCCACCACCCGCCTCGTTGCCCAGTTCCTGCTACCTCCTTTCCAACCCAAACCAAGCCAATTCACCTGCCCACTTACTGCCTGTAATATTTTAGATTCTTTTTTTCCCGTGTCTTTCAGTCAAATTCCTTCCTGTCCCTGTGCAGTTGGGAACCAGCCTGGGGATCACGATGTGCTTCCCATCCGCAGCAGCCAGGTGGTGTGGATCGACCACTGCCACGTGTACAATGGCCACCGCGGCACTGTGGATGTCGTGTACAACTCCACGGATGTGACTATATCGAATTGCCGTATCCACAACCACCGCCTCACCATGCTTTTGGGGGCAGACGACTCCCATGAGTACGACCGCAACATGCGCGTTACCGTGTATCGGAACTGGTTTGAGAAATCGGGGCAGCGCCAGCCGCATTGCCGCTGGGGGCAGTGCCACGTGGCCAACAACCTGTACACAGACTGGGCTTTCTACTGCCTTGGCGGGAGAGTCTTCGCCAAGATTCGGTCGGAGGCAAATGTTTTTCGAGCAGGTCGGTCGCGGAAGGAGGTGACGCCATGGTTTGGAGAAGCAAGCTTGACGACGCCTGGGTTTGACAACACGCCTACGATTCTATCGTATGGTGATTTGCTGTTGAACGGGGCGACCTTCCATCAGTTCAAAGGGAAGGAGCCCATGTTCTATCCGCCTTACCAGCTGCCTCTCTATGATGCCTCGGCTCTCATGGAGACCTACTTGAGGCAGAGTGCTGGCCCACAGTATCCTTTCAGATTTATTAGGTCTTTCTTTGATTGGGATTCATGAGCAGAAATTCAATCTACTCAGCACAATTCACTTAATCGAACTATCGATAAGCGGATGTAGGGTGGGGAGTGCCAGAGGGGGAGTGGTGCTGTCGCCAACGTGTGGCGACTCCGTCGCGTGCCTTCGCGTGTCAACAATGCCGCGGAGAAGCAATCCCTCTCCCCGCCTCGCCCTCCAAGCATTCCCCCTTCCGTGTCCCGCCGGGGGCAACCCAACCCAGTGCCTTACCTCTTTCCGCCAGTTGCGCATCTGCGCGGACTTAGGCCGTGTCTAGCGCGTTCATTTCGCCCCAACACGAGTTTAGGACATAATTTAACACGCCGAAATATTGAAACGCCAAGTGTAAATATGTTGAGGTACACCTACAGGATCAACGGCAAAACGCGCGGACACGTGTCCCGCCCGTGTCTCGACAAATGAGCGGGTGCGCAGCGCGCACATCACATACCTGATATGCAAAGTGAATAGATACGAACGAGCTGGACACGCCCTTACCCAGACCCCATTTGCTGCAGTACAGCACAACAGTGCAGTTCTGTAGCACCGTGTGCCCTCGGCTCGAAGGTGCCCCCCAGACTTGGCTGGCTGGAGCCTAGGGCTCGTCGTCATTCACATTCTCGGTTCTACTGCCTTCTCCACTTCACCACTTTCGGCTCTGTCGCACGTGTTTCCGTTACTCTCTGACTGCGGCTCGCTGTTTCAAGTACCTTTTTCCAGCATGGCGTCTCGAGGAGGGGCGACGCCGTCCAAGGGTTGCTTGCAGCGGCTGCAGCGAGAGTTGAAGCTAATCACCAAGGTGCTCACGCCTGTGTCAACGCTACCGAGCCTTCTCTTTCGTCTTCAGAAGTATTTCTCCCTGGTTCCGTGGAGTTTTTTAGGATACCTTGTCGGTGTGGTGGCTGCAATAGGTTAGAATTTCGTTAAGTCTGCCATGGTCAGTTCCAGCTAGAGCACTGCTGTCTTGCGTTCCCACTCCTTTCCCTCTCCCATCTTTCAGGAGCCACCGCCTCACATCCGCGCGAAGCCGAACCCCGCTGACATGCTGGACTGGCGTGAGCTGTCGTTCCAGTATCTTCTGGCCGTTTCTTTCCGCCTTTTACGCGTCGTCCCTTTGCTCCTGCCTTCATCCTCCCTTACCTCTTCCCCCCACCCTCTCACTCCGTTAGCACCCACACCATCATTGCGCACTTCTGACGTCATCATCTCTTCTCCTAACTGCGTTCTCCTCTCCTCAACCGTCCTCTCTCCCTCTCCCTCTCGTTTCCTCAACCATCCGCTCCCTCTCTCCCTCTCCTCCCCCGCGCGCCAGACTTCGTGTTGGAAGGCAGCCCTGGCACGCCGTACGAGGGCGGCTGCTACCACGGACGGCTCAGATTCCCCGCCGACTACCCCTTTAAACCGCCGAGCATCATGATGATTACCCCCAACGGCCGCTTCGCCACCAGCACTCGCATATGCATGAGCATGAGCGACTGTGAGTGGATGGGCGACTGTGAGTGGACGAGCGACTGTGAGTGGATGGGCGACTGTGAGTGGATGGGCGACTGTGAGTGGACGAGCGACTGTGAGTGGATGGGCGACTGTGAGTGGACGAGCGACTGTGAGTGGATGGGCGACTGTGAGTGGATGGGCGACTGTGAGTGGACGAGCGACTGTGAGTGGATGGGCGACTGTGAGTGGATGGGCGACTGTGAGTGGATGGGCGACTGTGAGTGGATGGGCGACTGTGAGTAGATGGGCGACTGTGAGTGGATGGGCGACTGTGAGTGGATGGGCGACTGAGCGGATGCTTCCTTCATTGGTCAAGCTGCCGGTTAGGGTCTCGCACTGCTTCTCGGCTGTTGCTCTTCTCCCTGCTGTGGCGTGACGGCTCCATGCTCTCTGTGCCCCGCCCTTCCCCTGGCTGCGTGCAGTCCATCCCGAGACGTGGAACCCCATGTGGTCCGTCGCCAGGTATCGCCCTCCGCATCCCACGCTTTGCACTTGCTCTGCGCTCCCTCCTCACGCTCCAGTTTTTCTGCCCGCATTTCCTCCCCTACATTCTTTGCTCTGCGAATGGCTGGTCCCCGGTGTTTCCCTCACACCACTGCATCACCCCAAGGCCTCGTGGCCTGTGCTCCCTCTCATCCTCAGCTGATCCAATCTTCCCATGCTCCTGTCTGCTGTCCCTTGCCTTGTTTTGCAGCATTCTGACTGGACTTCTGTCCTTCATGGTACGTGCTGACGTGGCACCGTGCTCGCGCAGGAACGGGCATGCATGTCCACATGCGCACCCACTGCCATGAACACCCACTTGCGCTCATTCAAGGGCTCTATGCGTACGACGAACGACTCTGCACGCACGGGTTTTTTTTTCTCATGCGTATGGGCACTTTAGCAAATCAGCACACGGACTCTGTACGATGTGTGCTCACACTCACGGCTTCCAACCTGCCACCTCTGAGCAGTGTACACGTGGCTGCTTTCCCAACAAGACAGCATGAGATGGTTCCTCATCTCTCACTGCTCTCTGACCCGCTCTTCCCCCGTCCTCTCCCTGCTCCCCCTGTCCTCTCACAACCCTCTCTCCCTTTCCTCTCCCGCGCGGCCAGTCGGACGATGCAGTGACAGCGGGCAGCATAGTGGCGTCAGAGGCAGACAGGCGCAAGCTCGCACGGCTCTCCATGGCCAACAACTGCTGCAGGTACGTGCTTTGCTGCTCTGCCATATTGCTCCTCTTAAATACGTCCCATTTGCTGCCCTCATTCTCCCCATCCTCATTTGCCTGAGAGTCCCTAATTAGTTGGTCGACAATATACATCTCTCTACCTCCCTCCGGTTCCCCTTACGTCCGTGATTCATGTCTATTTCCGCCCTCCTCCCCCCAGCCCCATGTTCCGCAAGCTGTTCCCCGACCTGGTGGACAGCTACACGGCCTCGCTTGCCACGGCAGCAGATGCAGCAGAGGGGGGGAGGGATGGGGCGTGCAGAGCGCAGGGGGAGGGGGCAGAGGGTAAGGGAAAGGGGGTGGGGAAGGGCCGGCGGGTGGTGGAAGCTGCTGCTGGGGCGGTGGGTGGGCGGGAAGGGAAGGGGAGTGAGGGGGGGAGGGAGGCGAGAGTAGGAGCGCAGGGCGAGGCACAGAGAGTGGAGGGGGGCCAACGGAGGGTGGGCAGAGCAGGTGGGAGAGTGGGTGCCGCTGCTGCTGCTGCTGCATTGAGCGCAGGGAAGGCAGCAGAGGCAGCTGTTACAGGGTCGGGCAGTGGGAGTGGGGCGAAGCCGGGCATTTCTAGCTTGTCGTTTTGGGTGACAGCGGCAGTTGTGCTCATATGTGGGTGCGTCATGGCGGTGCCGTTCCTCGACTCCTTGTCCTCGTCCCTGCTGCGACTATCCTGACAGTCAACACGTTGAGCGTGGTGGCTTCAATTCGTGTGCTTATTTTTGTCTGTGAAAAACTTGGGTTAGGAGCTAGCATCATTTGTACTTGTAATGTTCAGATGATTGATTTTGTGTAACAAGGCTTTCGTGAGGCTGACCTTAGGGGATCGTGGTGTTCTCCTTCGCCAGTCGCACCGCAACCTCCCATGCCGTGCGGCGTGTCATTCGCAACTTGCACGCGAATGGCAGTCCGCGAACTCGCCCGTTTCAACCGACACCGTTTTCGCCTTCCCTCCATTCATTCCGTGCTGCCGGCCGCTCCCACTGTCGAGTCCGACTTGCCTCCTTGAAACCTCCTCGCGTCCCCTTAGCTCCCTGGCACTACTACACCAATCCAAGGTAGCAATCATACAGACCGACCCCCTCCCTTGCACACCAGTACTGAGGCCGGCTGTGCTCTGTTCTCATGTGCTGATTCCCTACCTTTGTTTTTCTCCACCCGGCAGTCTTCAGCGTCCCTATGCGCTCGCGTCAGAGCCGCCTGCCTGGACACCCCGCCTTCCTTTTAGGACGGCCCTGAAAGGAGGCGATCGCGTCTCCGCCTCGCTTCGTCCGCGCGCCCCCATGAAGAGCCCCAGCGCGCAGCTCTCGCACGCGCTCACGCGCATCCACGCCGCCATGCACCGCCCACCCTCCCCAGCGCCCGCGCCATCCACCCCGCCATGCGCGGGGAGCCCTCCTGACGACCCCATGCGACGATCCGTGAGTCGACGGGCGTCGCAGGAGCGCACAGCGGAGTTGCTGCAGCAGTCGTTCCGATCCAAGGCGCAGCCGCCCGCGCGCGCGCATCCTGCCGGAGCGCCCATCCCCGGGATGCCTGATGCGGGCGGCGGGAAACAGCGGCGGAGGAGCGCGATGCGGAGCAGCAGCGGGCTGAGGGAGGGTCTGTCTGGGGGAGCGCGGGGGTCGGAGAGTCCCGCGGCGTCGGGGCGGCAGGGGCTGCGGAAGCAGGTGTCGGGCGACCTGGCGCCGCTGCTGCTCATGCTGAAGCGGCAGGCCACGCCCACGAGGACGCGCTGCGTGTCGCCCGTGCAGTCGCCGCGCGACGTGTGGGAGGCGGCTGAGGCTGGGAAGCTGTTTGACTGGATGAGGAAGAGTGAAGAATGCGACGCCACGTCAGCAGGGCCGAGGGATGAGAAAGTCGAAAGCGCTTCTGTTTCCACAGCAAGGGCTGTTACACTTGAGAGGAGGAGGTTTCTAGTCCAGGCGCAGAGGCCGCTGCAGTCTCCAAACAGCACCTTGGATCCACCTGACGACCTGCCACTGTGGCGTGAGGGACCCTCCCAGTCCCCCTGTTGCCACTGGGATCTACCTGCAACGTTTCCCAAAGCACAGACGATCCCAAGTGCTTGTTGCGAGAGCAACGTGGATGCGTTGTGCGAAAGGAATCAGAACCGGCAGCCATTGTGTCCTCGGTGCTCCTGTAGCCCGTATCGACCAATAATACTAAGAGGTGCCTCTTGCGATGGGGCAAGACAGGTTCCAGCCAGGCCGCAGCCACATGGGATGTACCCTCCATCAATGCTAAATAAAGGGAGGGGACGACTCGCAGGAAGGACATTCAGTGTGAGGCAGCAATTGGCTATGGAAGGTAGGCCAAGATGGAGTCTATGATCTGGTGATGGGCTAGCAGCGTACATAGCAGAGCCGTGAGCCCCACAATTTAACAAGAGAACCGATTGTGAAAGTTGCTTAGTCCATCTTGCAAAGGTAGCGTGCTTCATTTCAGATGGGTGGTTACATAGCTCTCGTCGCTAAGCGCACATACATTGGAGGGAGGGTGGGGGGGAACTCAAACTAGAAACTGAAAATGAAGAACGTGGGTGAGGCCAACTGGCCTCTTTGTATGCAAAAAGAGGGTGAGTAGCGGCGCGCCGCTACCTTTGCTGTGCTGGCCACGTTTCCACTTTCACAATACACAATTTTAGAAAGCGTGTAACACTATCAAAAATTATAATTTATAAAGATATTTCATGTTGCAAGGGTTCCCCTCCAATCCTAGTAGAAATGTGTGCATGAACGAGAATAGGAAATAGAAAGTGTTGTATACTCGCATTGCTGTATTCGCCACCAGTAAAATGATTATTTGAATGTTCGGGCAAGGGGCACCGATTTCATCTGTCACCGAGCACATCGTCGCCACGCAGGCGTCGCACGCACCTTGCGTGCTCACGAAGTCGCCAGACACCCACTTCGCAATTTCGCACACCTCAGCAACAGCTCGCCTATTGTGAGGGCAGGCAGGCCACACTGTAGGACTTCTCACTCAGTGCGCCGCAGAGGCTCGGCTGACTGATGGGCAGAGCAGAGCAGCACAGGGAAGGACCGTGCGACGCCAGCAGGGACCGCCAGTGGCATGCTGTTGTGTTCTCAACTGTTCAACACAGGCAGGTTAGTCCTGGACTCCTTGCTCTGAGTGACCCCTCCTGCTGCTTCACTACTGTTTGTCTCTCTCGCCTCCCACGCTACGCTCTGTACCTGCTTGTCTACGCTTCGCTCCCCGCCTTTCACGGTCTCCTGCACCCGCTGTCCATCTGACGTCACGCGCAAGCAGGTTGCTCTGCTCTCTGACGCTACGAGCTCCGAGACTGGTCTGAGCGCCATGGCGGATGAAGTGTCGCTCGCTGAGCAGGTCCACTCTCGTGCTCCTCTCGTGCCCCTAGGTTTTGTCAGAATCTTCTCTTGATGTGTTTACTTGCTCAACTCGCGTCTCGTCATTAGAGTTTGAGCCTCCCTTAATGTTCCACGGCGTTTTGTGCACTTGCGATTCGTATCGTGCGTCTTGTATGTCTGACCCTTCGCTCTTTCAAAGTTCCCAAGTTCGCCTCAGAGGTCGGCGATCTCGAATACGCTCCGTCATTCGGGCATACCCGCTCGAGATCTATGTCGCATGCTCTCATAACGCTCTCTTACGCGTCCATGCGTCATCATTCGTAATCGGTGATCCATAATTCATTATTCGTGATTCATCATTCACGATTCACGATTCACGATTCACGATTCACAATTCACAATTCACAATTCACAATTCATGATTCATGATCCGTGCAGGAGGCTCGCTTGAAGAAGAAGTACGGCGGGGCTCTGCCAAAGAAGAAGGGGCTGCTCTCCAAGGTATCGCGAGAATCTGGCCTTATTGTTGACTTTCCAGTTGACTTTTGAGTCGACTAAAAAGACTATCGAGCACACCGGTCTGCTGATCTGATGTCGATAAGGTGCCGTCGTGTGATGGCTCGCCAATGCATCTACTGTTGACCCGTCTTCCTTATTTTTGTCTCTGCCATCGTTTGCTCGTTGATTATTCATAGTCACGCCGCGTCAATGCGTTCTCCCTCATTTCTTAGAATCTCCTGTGACCCTCGTATCTTCCTGACCCCGTGGCCACCCGCTGTCCGCCTCGTGTCCGTGCAGGGTCACGAGAGAGCGTTTTTCGACTCGGCCGAGTGGGCCATTCAAAAGGTACCATCGCACACCAGCGGCCTTCCACTTGCATGCCGTCTAGCAGCTGTCACAATGTGCGCGGTGGGGCTGCAGTCCATCCAAGCGCCACTGCACTGCTTTTCAGACCTGGCCTCCGCACTTGATGGATTTTGAGGCGCCTCAAAACTGAGAGTGCTTTTGAGGCGCCTCAAAACTGAGAGTGCTTTTGAGGCGCCTCAAAACTGAGAGTGCTTTTGAGGCGCCTCAAAAGCACTGCTTTTCAGACCTGTCCTCCGCACTTGATGGATTCAGGCTGTTTCTGTGCAATGCGAAGCTTGGTGTCTGCATCCGCTGTTTCTGCTCACCTTCCTTGTCCCATCTGCTGCGTGTCCTCCGTTCTCGTTGATTGCCAGCAGCAGCAAAAGGGCGCCAAGCCAGCAGCGCCGGCAGAGGAGGGCCTACAGCCGAAGCTAGAGGTACGCTGGCCATGTATGGTTCGGTTTTGGTGGACTACTTGATAATGGGACGATTCTGGCGATTTTCGCGTTTCATCCATGTAAATGGAGTGCATGCAGCTGATGCTTTCAACATATCGCAGGCAATGATCTCCCGCTGCACTCCTCCTCATCCATTCCTGCTATGCCCTGGAAATGGCATGCCTGCCATCTGATTGACCATGCTGTGCGTGCATGCAGCCCACCCCTCATCTACCTGCCCCGGGTCGTCGCTCCGGACTGGCTGAAAGTGACACTTGACTTGGCGCTTGCCCTGGTGCTCTGCACATATACATGGTCAGTGCTGCATGCGTGCACATATCCATGGTCAGTGCTGCATGCGTGCACATGTACCTTGTCAGTGCTGCATGCGTGCACATGTACATGCATGGCGATCACTGCAAAAGCTTGCTGTCTTAGCTGTCACATTTGCCTCCCGCCATTGTCGGTGCCCCCTGTGGTGCAACTAGTGCGTTCCCTGCCCCCTCCACTTGCCCAAGTTCCCATACTTGCACCAGTTGCAGCTGCATGAACCTCAAGTGTTGCCTTTGCTTGATTGCACCTGTTGCTCTGCGCTGGCTGGTTCTGTTGCAGGCAGCAGGGGGCTGATCAGCCGTTGCACCAACCCCGGTTCGCCCCTTCTGCACTACCCATGGCCATGACCCTCATACCCCTCTCATCTCATGGCCCTTCCCGTGGCTCATCCTCTGGCTGCCATTGGTGTCCGTGGCTCCTGGACTGCCACTCACAGGGCGTTCCTCTTCGTCCACACATGACAATGGCAGACCTGACAGCCTTTTTCTTCGTTACTCATGGCCCTTTCCTGTACAGTTCTCCCTGTACCACTACTGTTGGAAGCATTGGCTAAAAGATTGCAAAAATGTTGATTGTAAAAATCAGGCAGAGAGCAATTGTACCTGTCCACAACCCTGATTGATGAGCAGCTGCACCTGAAAGGACTGATGGGGTTGTGTTGGAAACATCTCAAAAGACTTAAGCGTTTCTGAAGTATAACACTGTACTCGAGGAAGATTACAGGGGAGCACGCGAGTCAACGGAGGTTGCACGAGGGGGCGGACAAAGAATGCGAAAAGACTCGAAAGGTCGCAACTGGAGGTTACGACTGACCGTTACAACATCACGGATGGTAACCGAAGCGGCAATCGAGTCGCTGTGCGACTCGATAAACCGTTCCTGTAACTGTATTCTACAACTGCTTTCTTATCTTCTATATATTGCTGCATGCTTGTTTCTTTAGTCAATCACTTGTTCTCATATACTAGTACAAGGGTTCAACTGCCTCAACTTCCGCTGCACTACTCAAGTCTCATTTTACAACTGGGACTTAGTCTCTGGAAAGATCCTAAGGGCTTTTATCAGCCCAACATGGTATGAGAGCTAGTCAGAGACCAAACTCCCAGCAATTGCACTCCATCAACCTGCAACTCAACTCAATTCAACGACTTCATTGATCACAAGACATGGACAGCAAGGGCAAGAAAGTCTCTACGGGCTCACCCAGCGGCCAAGAAACTCAACACGGCAACTCTGGTCTGCACACCTCAGGACTGCTGACAGAGACCGGGACTGCTCAAGAAACAACGGGAAGAGTACCAGAGATGGTGACTCCATCTCCCTCTTCAAGCGTGGACCCCAACCTTATGGAAAGGTTCTTCAGCTTCATGTCGCACTTCGACCAGCAGCAGCAGACAAGGACACCTGCGCATTCAACACAGAGCAATGGAGGAAACATGGGATTAGTGCCGATGAGCCTCGACAACTCATCGTTTGGGCGACACAATCAAGCGCCTACCTTTGCGCCTTATCACTCTTCACCGGGGACGTTCGAGTTCATGCCGCCCCGTGCCCAACCAACAGCAGCTGCATCACACCAAACACCAAACGAAATCTTAAGTCTCCAGGCGCAGTTTTCACACGTGATTAAACTGCAGACATCCTCACCGTTCAACGGACACGACTTCTTTACCTGGAGCTTCGAGTTCGAGCTGCTGATGGAGGCTGCGCACCTTCTGGGATACTTCAACAGGTCCCTGCCATTCCCAAGCAACGGCACTGGAAAGGAACAAGAAATCTTCACGTATCAGTCGCTGCTGGCGTATACGGTTCTCCTGAGAAACCTGTCACCACAAGAACAGCAGAGCATCAGAACATACAGGAGCTATGGAAACTCCGCGGAGCTCGCATGGCACCATCTCAAGTGCCTCTATCAAGCAAATGACAGCGTGACACAAAGCAGACTCATGCAACAACTGACAACAATACAAATGAAGACCGGGGAAAATGCGATGCAGTATATGAGTCGCTGCCAGACCCTCCGCGACCGCCTGCTTCGGTGCGGAGGAACAATCACTGAAGAAAGCTTCGTGACACTTGTCCTCGCCGGGCTCGGGCCAGAATGGAGAACCACACGATCGCTTCTTCGCGCCCACGGAAGGATTTCGGAGATGCACCTCTGCGCCGAGCTTCACGCTGAACAACAAGAGATGGACCTGTTCGAAGAAAGACAACCAAGGAAGCAGCAGCAGTTAGTCTTCTACACTCAACGAAGAAACGACAACACCTACAATCGACGGGGCAAGCAAGAACGCGACAACAGGGGATTTACCTTCGTGCCGCCGTTCTGCCAAAACTGCCAGACTTCCGGGCACTCCAAGGTCAATTGCAACCGCCCTCGCGTTTACCGTCCAGCAGACCCACAAGTCGCTTCCACTCAAGCAAGTCCCCCAAGACGCTCTTCAACATCTGCACAACAGACACCAAATATTATCAATTGCATGGTACACATCGACAACTGCGCACCCGGATCACCACCCACTTACGCGCCAGACGAAGAAGAGCTCCCGCCACCGCGCTCACAAGGCCTTCAAGTCAATCCAACATATTCTGCGGTCACCAAGGCCGAACCCACTGGGCGAAACACCTGGTTCTTGGACAGCTGCTGCGGGCAACACATGTGCTCTTCGGGACGATTCGTGCAACAGGAGAAACGCCTCAACCGCGACGTCGTCATCACCGTCGCCAACAACGAAAATCTGAAGACAAACAGACAAGGCGTGGTTCAGTTACAATCCATGGAGACAAACGTCATACTTCAGCTCAACAAAGTCCTCATTGTCGACAACCTGGGATACAACCTACTAAGCGTAAGCCAACTAATGGCCAAGGGGATTCACCTGGAGTGCGACTCCTACTCCAACGAGTTTCGGCTATACCACGGGAAGGGTGGCCTCTTCATCGGTCGTGCCCTCCTGAAATCCGGCGTCTTCGTTTTGGACTTCGTCCCCGACCGCGGTACTGCCGACAGCGACGGCATCGTATCATTCGCCGCCTGGACACACCCGCCGGATTTTGATCCAGAATTCGACAGTGACGGCTTCTGGCACTCCAACACCATACCTGCAGTAGAAAGAACACGAGCATTAGCAGTCATCAGACAAGAAAGACAAGTACCCGCGAGTATCCCAACCAAACCATCACCTGCAGTAGCAGCAGCAGGACTCAGCCGAGTCCCACCACCGGCGATCCGAGGACCGCCAACCGAAGCAGACCAACTTATGCCCATCACACGAGAAGTTTGTCGAAGTCCCGCCACAGTCGTCGCGTTCTTCTCCAACGCCGACATATACCACCGCTCACCGGGTCATCGCGCTCCCGACGACATCTGGCACCAACGCCTCGGGCATCCTGCAAACAGCACGATACTACAAACAATCCAAGCAGAGGTGTTAGAACGCAACGCCCTCCTAACGACGAGCGGCCAAGAACTTCGACGACCACGAGCACGGTGCTTCACGTGCCCCGAAGCAGATCTTCCCCATCAGCCTTTTCCATCTCATCACAACCCAAGCGCACCTACATACGCTCCGATGGAAAAAGTCTACAGCGATATTTTAAACATGCCTCGAGAAGACACCGAAGCCGACTTCAACTACGTCATCACGTTCATCGACGCAGCAACCAGATACGTCTGGCACTTCAATCTCAAGACGCGCGATCAAGCTTTCGACGCCTTCACAACATGGCTTCCCATCGCCGAACGAGAATCGGGAACCAAGCTCAAGAGCTTCCAGTCAGACGGTGCACTGGAATACCAGTCACAACGCTTCAGGACCTATCTGGCGGAAAGAGGAATCAGACGCCTGGTGTCTCTGCCCTATGCTCACCAGCAGCAGGGGGTCGCAGAACGCATGAACCGGACCTTGCAGACGACGATGCGAAAACTGCTTCTGGGGATGAGGCTGCCCACCACACTGTGGCCAGACGCGATGACACATGCAGTTCACCTGCACAACCTGCTCTCCTCGTCATCGCTTCCCAACAACGCATCACCGCACCTGTTGTGGACAAGAAAAAGGGGCAGCACAAAATTACTCCGAGTTTTCGGCTGCATGGTACAGTACAGACCCCACACAGCCCGAGCAGGACGCTTCACACAACGAGCTCGGTGGGGACTACACCTCGGCATCGCCAAACAATTTCACGCGTGGAAAATTCTCGACATACAGGACAAAAATACCGTGGCATCACGTGATGTTATCTTCTACGAGCGACTGACGCTGCAGCATTACCTGGACAACATTGCCAACACACATGACCCCACCGACGGCTTCTTCGGACTTCGTTCCTTCGCCGACCGTGCTGCCGAAGCTGACGCGGCAGAAGAAGACGTACCTGAAGCCTCGGAAACTGCCGGACCACTCCCATTCTGTTCCGTACCTGTTCCACTCGACGAAGACAATCCTCTCGATAGCAACAACCTCGACACCTTTTACCACTTCGCTGACCAAGGTTACATTACACCCCACCCAATCGACACAAATGTTTCAGAACGCATCGGTCCCAACTTCTTACCTGACCCAGAAGACGGTAACGAAGCAGCTTATTCCGGGAATGAAAATTCCCCTCGACACACACCAACGGGACTGCAGATTCTAGGCCTCTGGGTCTCCGTCCAGCATCCGCCGCCGCCTTCTCCGCGAGAGCCTTCGACCCTGTCGCAGGCTCTGGGGGGGGAATATAAGGCGAAATGGAAGGAAGCGATGGAAAAGGAGTTAAAGGCTCTGCAAGACCGGAAAACATGGAAACTGGTACCTGCAACGAGCATCAACGGGAAAAACGTCCTCTCGGGGAAATGGGTGTACCGCATTAAGACCAACTCAGACGGCTCCATCGAACGATTCAAAGCTCGATGGGTCGTACGAGGCTTCGATCAACGATACGGGACCGACTACACAGAAACCTTCGCTCCAGTCTCCCGTCACACCTCATTACGCATCCTACTCGCCGTCGCAGCCACGAAGACATTACCACTACGCCAAATCGACGTCGCGAATGCGTTCCTATACGCACCTGTGGACGCCGAGATTTTCGTCGAACAACCCCACGGATTCATCGACGACCCCACGAAAGTATGCCAACTGACAAAATCCCTATACGGGATCAAGTAAGCCCCGCGGCTCTGGCAGCAGCATCTCCACGGCCGTCTCGCAAAAATCGGATTCCTACAGCTGCCGCATGACCAAGGAATGTACCGACTGCAGAAGGGAAGAGAGTATATCCTACTCATCGTCTACGTCGACGACCTGCTCTACATCGGCTCCACTACCGACATCGCCACCTGGTTCGAACGGGAGCTGAAAGAAGACTTAACACTCACGGTGTCCGACGAAGTGACCCAGTACCTAGGACTGAATGTCGACGAAAACGACACGGCGTTCTACCTACACGCTGGAAAGTACTCAGGCACCGTCGCGAAGAAATTCGGTCTAACACCGACTACTGTCCCAACTCCCTACCACTACGGGAACAACAATAGCACCTCCGCAAAACTCCCCGCGAAACAAATCCAGGAGTATCAACAGAAGCTCGGCTGCCTACTATTCGCAGCAGTAACCTGCCGACCCGACCTGTCCTATAGTGCGAGTCAACTGGCGACGCATCTGAAGTAACCGGAACAGGAAGATCTCGAGGAGCTCAACCGAGCACTACTCTACTTCGTCTCCACGCCGACGATTGGGCTTACCTACAGCAAAGCGACAACACCGTCCGTACGACTACTCGGATACGTCGACGCCGACCACGCGGGAGATAGGGAAAATCGACGATCTAGGACGGGCTACATCTACCGACTAGAACCCATCGGAACTATCTCCTGGCAGTCGAGCAAGCAGGAGTTAATCGCGCTATCCTCGGCTGAAGCAGAGTATATCGCCCTTTGTACTGCGACCAAGGAAGGACTCTACCTACGGGAGTTACTCGAGGAAGCGAAGATCGCGACCCTGCCCGCCTTCTCACTCCTCTGCGATAACCAATCTGCGATCAAAATCGCGAACAAGGACGGCTTCGCCAACGGAACTAAGCACATCGCCCTGCGGTACTTCTTCGTCAAGGATGAAATCGCGAAGGGGAGACTTCAACTCAGTTACTGCCCGACGACAGAAATGGCCGCAGATTATCTGACGAAGAAATTGGCGAAAGCAAAATTCGACTACTGCATGCTCCTGACCGGGCAAACAAACGTCACCGGATCTGAACACGCCAGCACTCCAGAAACGAAGGGGAGTGTTGGAAACATCTCAAAAGACTTAAGCGTTTCTGAAGTATAACTCTGTACTCGAGGAAGATTACAGGGGAGCACGTGAGTCAACGGAGGTTGCACGAGGGGGCGGACAAAGAATGCGAAAAGAGTCGAAAGGTCGCAGCTGGAGGTTACGACTGACCGTTACAACATCACGAATGGTAACCGAAGCGGCAATCGAGTCGCTGTGCGACTCGATAAACCGTTCCTGTAATCGTATTCTACTATCAAATCTAGAATTTTTAATAATAAGAGAGAGAGAGTACACAAACATATACCTAAATGTTGTACTCTCTAGAAGGTGACCCTATACAGTCTATACAAACAAGATAACTACACATGTTTGACACACCCCCTGGACTGCATAGGGGAATGTTCTAGACAAGCAGCTCAGGGTGGCACTACTAGTCCAGCCTCTGAGACAAGGGTCTAAAAGACCAGTCAGAAGGAGTACAGACAAGGCAAGAACGAGTACAGGGCGGCACTACTAGTCCAACCACTGTGAGAGGACACAAGTCCAGTCTGAGTGTATACATATATATATATACGACAGTACAAAGTCAAAGCCCGAGTAAGTGAGAGACTACAGGAACCAGACCAAGCTGTAAACAGTGCCGCTGATGATCTTTAGGCGCAAGCGCCTTCGTAAAGATATCAGCTGTGTTGGCACCGGAGGCCAAGTGTACTACGCGAGCCTGGCGACGCTGCTGTAGCTCGCGCAGGAGGAAGTACCGCAGCTGGATGTGCTTCGCTCTGCCCTCGAGTCGAGGCTCCTGACACAGGAGAATCATGGCCCTGTTGTCAGCGTACAGGACCGGGGCAGAGCTAGGCCGCTCACCTAAGTCAGTGAGCAAGAAGGTCAGCCAGCGGAGCTCCTGTGCCGCCATGGCACCGGCGTAGATCTCAGCCTCACAGCTGGACTGGGCAACAGACGAGGAGCGGGTAGCTCTCCACGAGACAGCACCTGAGCCAAGGCTAAAGCAGTAGCCCTGGGAAGACCTGAGCGTCTCGGCGTCGTCTGCCCAAGAAGCGTCTGTGTGTCCAGTAAGGACCACTGGCCTGCGTCCGCCTAGCACTAACCCCATGCCCGATGTACTTGCAAGATAACGCAAAACCCTCTTAGCGGCAGACCAGTGCTGAGGTCGGTGTCTGCCTGTGGCCACAAAACGAGCCAGGATGCTGAGAGGGTATGCGAGATCTGGGCGAGTGCAAGTCATCAGGTACATGAGGCAACCCACTAGCTCAGCGTAAGGACCACTGGGATCTACCGACTCCTCAGGAACTGGAGCGGAGAGTCTGTGGTCCAGAGGAAGAGGGGTGGGCTGTGCGGAGGAGAACTGAAGGCCGAACCTCTGAAGGACCTGGCGCACCAAGTGTGACTGAGTCAGGGTGATGGTGCGCGCGGCTCTGTCCCTGGAGATCTGCAAGCCAAGGTAACGGCGCAGCTCTCCAAGGTCAGTGCAGGTGTGTCTCTTCAGCAGCTCTGCCTTCACGGAGGCCAGTGCGTCCCTGTCAGCTGTGGCAAAGACCAGGTCGTCTACGTAGACGAGGATGTAGAACGGAGTCGAGCCAGCACGAACGAAGAGCGAGGGGTCTGCAGAGGACGGAAAGAACTGCAGGTCAGCAAGAGTAGCACGCAGCGTGTCGTGCCACTCACGAGGCGCCTGGCGCAGGCCGTAGACTGGGCGCCGCAGAAGCCACTGGGTCCCAGGGGGGAAGGTGCCAGTAAAGCCCTGAGGACGACGCAGGTAGACCTGCTCGTGAAGGCTGCCCTGAAGAAAGGCAGTGGAGAAGTCGAGGGAGTGAAGCTCGTAGTCACGCTGGGCCGCTACGTGTAGCAGAACCCGAAGAGTAGTCATCTTCGGGGTAGGAGCGAAAGTCTGAAAGAAGTCCACCCCCTCGCGCTGACTGAAGCCTCTAGCCACGTAACGCGCCTTGAACACAGGCGGCTCTCCAGGAGGGCGCTTCACCTTGAAGAGCCAACGGCCATCGACCACGTTCACCCCAGGTGGGGGAACTGCGTCGACGAAGGTGCCGGTGGATCTCCAAGATGCCAT